GAGGCCGGTCAAGCAGTAACTGGTTCCCGACATCGCGACATGATTACCCAGTTCTTTCTGCCGAAATTGGATGCTATTGACGTGGCCAATATGTGGTTTGAACAAGACGGGCCACATGCCATACAGCCAGGGAAACATTTTAATTAGTGCATGAGACATTTCTAAGTCGTGTATTGTCTCGTTACGGTGATCAAAATAAGCCCCGTAGATCGTGTGATTCAACACCATAACATTTTTCTTATTGAGTTATTTGAAGTCAAAGGTCTATGACAAAAAGCCTACAACAACCCGTGCATTAAAAGTGAAATTAAACGATGCCGTTGAAAATTCAGCCACAAATATGTAGAAAGGTCATGAAAAAGTTTGATAAATACAAAGCCGTGAAGTTTTTATTCAATAAAGAATCCAATCCTACGTCCTTTATGATTTAGTGTAAAATAACAATTTAGATACTAAAAACTCAGCTCGTGCCTTAATTTGAACACGGGATGTTCGAGTATATTGAATGGAAGCGAGCGCCCGGACACTGAGCTATCACGGCTACTATACAATATAAATATAAGCCTGTCAATAAACTGTGAAGATACTTCCTCTTCGGCCCAGTCATTCGAACAAGAACTCAAGCTATTGCGTGACTCATCATCTTACGGATTTTCTAGCGTTAATTGTTGTGGTGTATTCAGCAACTTGATCGTCTCAAGAACCGCTTCCTCGCTGATATCTTCGTAGGAGCTGAGTGTAATAATTTAGAGTTACGAGCACGCTATGACGCGGAATGTCAAAGTTCAGCGATAAAATCATCGTTCCGTGCCCCAATATCTTTACAGTTTTATCAAAACTTTATCTCCTTGAGGAGCTCGAGTGATATTCACGTTGAGTGCCCGTTGGAGAGGTCCGGAAAGTCGCGCACTCGCTAAGGCCTGCCGATGAGAGATAAAAAAAATCGGCCAAGTATCTCCGTCGCGGTCGTTTGAGAGTCCCTCTGTATCGAGGCTAACGTAGTAATGTTTATACTAACAAAGATTCCAAATCAAACAGAGCCTTACGGCATTGGGGATTCCTTTGGGCCCTAAAAAAATATACTTCGAAACAGATCGAGTCTGCGCTATGTTACATTTACAGTGTATAAAGCCAATTAATATTTATCATTAAAACATTTTCAACCGAACTCCGGTGTTCCACGGAATGTTAGAGAAATTCTGATCGTAATCTTTACTAGTACTTTCCTTACTAATATTATAAACGGGAAAGTTTGTATGAATGTATGGATGTTTGTTACTCGTTCGCGCAAATACTACTGAATGGATTTTAACGAAACTACAATAATATAGCTTATACATCAGGATAACACATAGGCTATAACGTATATACACTTTTTATGTATATCTGTCTTTCTGTCTGAATGTTATCTTAAGAGATTATAGTAACATTACTATTTTACGATAGATTACTTGTCCCTTTATCAGACGAGTATATTTATTATTCGTCCTTTTAACAGACGACATGCAACCGTCATTTTAAGTTGCGTTTCGTGTCCGCAATTCCAATTTGCGGGTGACCAGTAAAGTGCGAATGAATGAAACATCAACGTTGTAAATGTTTTGAATTTTAAAGGCCAGATCACTTGTGCCGCTGGGATTCGAACGGACGCCCTTTAACCGATCGCGTTGATCACCAGGCATCCACTGCCTACACGAAGTATACATGAAGCCAGCCCATCCGTTGTGTTGAAGCGGCGCGTCTAAAAGTGCGTAGGACGCAACCCGCACATAAGGTTTCACGACGCGAACGGAAACCTAGAGCAACGTGCCCACGGCCTTTGAAATTCAATTCACATTATCCCATTACAAGTAAATTGCAACGCGGAAATATCTCACGAGACCGCCGCTTTCTGATTCTGAGATAAGTTAAGCACAGATTATGTACCATTTAATTGTACAACGGACTCTGAAAAACACTGTTTCGACTCAATAAAAACTTGAAGAAGAACCTTCTCATTTCATTTAGTGAGTAAGGTAACAGTAGCCCACACTGGAATCTCCTTTTCTTTAATTAAGCAGGGGAAATGCCTATGATTACCTTTTCTTGCGAAGGTATATGCCAGCACGTATATTGACGTGGCCACGGGAATTCCTAACAAGTACATCATAATACCTGGACACTCCTCACTCCTCGGAAAAGAACTCCCTCTTCAACATGAAGTGCGTCTCCCTGAGTGGCTGTCTTTGCACAATAACGGTGTCCCCCAAGTTCCATGGGAGTCAAATCAAAATCAAATCAAAATTTCTTTATTCGAAGTAAGATTTGTTCAAACCGTTTTTCGACGTCTTATAATTCGTCGCATAATATAATATGTCTCTCATGCCGTGCTGGAGTATCGGAACACCAAGCCTCTTTGTCATTTAAATAACTCTAACTTATAATAAGATTATTTTAACAGTGTCTGCTTTACAATACATTTGAACTTTTTCTCCGGTAGGTTTTTAATAACATCAGTTATTTTGTTGTAGGGAGAGTCTCTGCAGAAAGGAGCAAGCCTCGAGGCACTTACGCTGCGTATATAGGTATAGGGTAGGGGAAAAAGGGGTATCGGAATAACAATACTCCTCTCACCCTATGGCTCTACCTCCACCGTATCAGCGATACAGATCCGCCGAGCGGCAGATGGTAGAGACAGTAACCATACGCAGTGAACACTCCTCTTGAAATTCTTTAAAAAAGGAGTATTTTATGTTAGGTAAACTAACAGGTTATATATATCCCACCATTTGTTATTAAATTTATATAATCTTGTAATAATTTTAAAGTTTTTTATAGTGCTAATCTCTGCACTTAAGATTGAACGTTAAAACATGTAGAAACAGTACGAAAAGATTGTCGCCGCTGTGGGAATCGAACCCACGTCTTCGGCATTCGCGGCCTGACGCTCTAGCCGCTGAGCTAAACGGCTGATAGCCACAGCGACGAAAATCTTAACGCCTTCTTTCTACATTGTTATTTAGCATTTGAAGCATTTGAATCTTGTAATTAGTTTAGTTTACACATTTTAACTCTAGTCCCAAACTAAGAAACGCTTTTACTATGGGTACTAGATTACTTATAAAAACACTTAAACGTACTAGACAAGTACATATATATAAATACCCGGAAAAACACAATGTACATCACACAATATTTTCACAGTAGTGGGGATCGAACCCACACCCTCTGGCGCAAGAGGCAGGTTCACTACCCACTACGCCAATCGGGGTCGTCACTTTTCACTTTTATATTTTATCCTTTAAACGAGCTATTCTTGTATATATATATACAAGAATAGCCCCAAAACAGACGGCCGCGGTTCATATCACGATCATTTACACATTTATTTATTTTTTACTTTTTTTTGTATACCAGATCATTTTCTTTATTTTTTACTTTTTTTTATGTCCAAAATACATGATTTACCAAAAAACCGAGCAAAGCGCGGTCCTCCAGGTACTACATTTAAATTCCCTATAGTAACTTCTCAATCAACCCAACCATGTATAATAAAATTGCCAACTCTTGCTTTAACGTTGCAATTTTGCAATATTTAATATTGTTATATAATGGACAACCATTATATAACACTTTTTGGGTTCAATATTGCCGGAGTAAATATTGGCAAAAAGTAATTAAGTTTTGTTATGGGATTAACGTATTGGCCCGTTTTACTGACGCAAGGTGCTTATTAAACTTTCTGCGATCTAGCAAACATTTTATCGAGCGGAATGTATTACGTGATTCACTGGTTTGCAATCCATAAATTCGGACCGTCGTCTGACCTAATTCCGATCTATATAAATATATTTAATGTTGAAAAAATTTACTCATCAAGATCCTTTTAACAGAAACTGATAATTCTATTAAACTTAACTGTAAAGTATTACTTACTAATTAATATAATATTAATTAACTTCTTTACTTTTTTTCTGTATAATTTCATCATTGACTTTGACTTTGTTAAATTGTTTCAATACTGGCAAGTTGTTTTAACACTTTTGTTATACGCATTATGAAGTAGAGCGCAAACCTCTTACCGCGGATAGCAAAAGGATAAAACTTCAGAGCATTTGGATGTTTATTCTCCTTTAATTTATCACACTATTCCTGTGCACAAAAAACACAATCTATAGAATTGATGGCCCTGTGGGTGCAACTGCAAGGCTATTGGCTACGTGCCGCGGGTTGTAAGTTCGTTTCTCATTTGAAAGAAGTAATTGTTTGGGTCGCAAATTACTGTTTCGAATTTAAGTGTTTATCCACGCAAAATCTGTGTTCTGTTTTAAATAAAAATACAATTCTAGGGTTCTATTTAGCGCGTATGCTCAAGGCTTGGCAGCTTTGTCCTTACCGCGTCCCGGTCACCAATATGTCACCGGGTGCCTCTTCGCTGAACCCAAGGCAACAAGATGGCCATTTGAGCATTAGGACATGGCATCAGAGTTTGTCTGACATCAATATTTTGGCATATAAAGATGCATTGCAATTTAATAAAGTGGGCCCTGACTACCTCACTCAACAGACGAAACGCAGATGTGTAACACTGATTCTTAAGGCCAGTCTTCTGTGGTGGCAATACTTACCCGGACGGGCCTGCCCCTTCGTGCAACAGCGAAAATTGTTGCCTAGCCCTACCACAGTTTATACCCAGGCAATAGACAAGTGTGTCAGATTTACCTTATCAGATTTCATTAAACTATTAATATTGCTATTATAAATAGCGCAGTTGCTTAGTTTCAACATACTTTTATTTGGATGCAATTATATCTTACAATACTTAAGTATGAACAAATTGGAAATAGTATTTGTGTAAACATTCTATACTATATACATCACGAGACTACGAATTACATGCATACAAACGTACAAATTTCATCTCTTTAACATATTGTTACAAAATATATGTGTAACGTGGCTTGTTACATTATTTTCAGGTGTTGTTCGACGCATGGCGACAACGCAGCATCATGTCGGGCATGACGGGAGCCAGCATGTTGCGCACACGCCGGAAGGATGTCAATGTCAAGCCAAACCGGAAGTGAGTTTTAAACATTCACGTCTCAGTATATCCGATGTAGATATTTAACAGTACCATGACCTGGATTGTTACACGACAATTGACTTGTTTATTCCGTGGCAGTTACATGATTTTCACTGATGTGAATGTGTGTCCCAGGATATGTCAATATTACCCAAAACTGTTTAGAAGCCTTCTAGTATTTAGGGGTAAAATAATAAATGATATAAAAAATAAAAAAGTTATATATGTCAAACTCTAATATTATTTGTTTTCGAGAGACAGAGATTTACCTAACCGATTGATAAGATTTGTATATGTCTGAAGGTTAATAGGACGATATAATAGTTTTTTTTGTAGTAAAAAGCCAACTTTGTAGATGTACACAAACTACTAGTAAACACATCAAATGATGTGATAGAAAAAAATGCAATTTAATTTATGAAATCATAAAAACAACTGATGTAAATTGTCACTAATAATTACTGAAAGATGATAACCACTAACTGATTAGAGATAATTCTTCATTAATGGACGTTTAATGAAGAATCACTGGAGCCTGGTCAAGTTTTAAAATATTTTTCCTGAATATATTTCTCCTAAACGCGAATACATTGCATTAGGTGAAAGAATATTAAAGCACTGTTTACCGTAACTTTACTTAGCCAAGGTGATATCAATAGACTTTATCGGGTCATGGGGATTTAGTAATCTTCACACGTCTTAAATGAGATATGTGTGCGGTAAACGCCTCGCCACACGTGGACACACACGATACTTTCACGGACGCAGTCAGACGTCTGCGACACGGACCTAGGGTTGTCACCATAATATTAACATGCACATTGTCGCTACGAGTTGAAATGTTCATGATAAAGTTCTGATTCGCAAATCGAAAATATGTTTTTTTTTTTATTTTTTGTACAAATTGTGATTTGGAAATAAATTAGAATCACTTATCTATGCAAATTTCTCTTAAGAACTATCGAAAGACAAAAAAATTCGGTTAATTATAAATATCATTTATAATATTATCCAATATACGAAACAGAAATAAAACAAACACCATCTTATAAATGTAATAAGATATATTGAAAACGGTTTTTTTTTTCTGATACCCAAAACACGACTCCGGCCGCAAAATTGGCCCCAACCCTATGCTACGGATAGTAGCGTCACTAATCATGTAAACGTAGGTTGTCAGTATTCTATTACGAAGGATAAATGTAAAAAGCTGACGACAATGTCAAAGCCAAGAAAAAGGTTGAGCGACTGAAAAAAAATTCGCTTAACAACATGTTTCTCCAATACGCGAATCTTTGTAATTGTAATAAATACATATTTGTAATTATAACAACATATTTATTACTTAAGCGTATTTTAATATCTAATTATTTAATTTACTGAATAGATGTATTTTTAATTAACGCACATCTACGCAGATTTTTAGAATCTATGTACACACCAAGTTTAAAATGTTATTAAATGGTTAAATTTTTAATTTATCTTAATGATAGAATCTAAGGATCGATGTACAATCACACTGAACAAAAAAGTGACTTTATAAATAAGATAGTTAAAGATCTAATTTAACATGAAAAACAATTTCGAAACCTGGGCACATTAAAATAATCATAAACAAATCAATATTCCCCATGTGCAAATAATTCCTTTTAGTAAGGCAAATGCTACATAGGTTTTCGGGGTAAGATAAGACATTTAAATTTAACAATTTTGTTGGTGCCGGCACCTGAATTTGAACTGAAGTTGCAGTTCAATGAATTAAACACAAGCGCACCGACACTGAGCTATCAAGGTCCACAGACGCATAATCATAACGATTAAGTTAATAAATCTGTAATATTAATTTCAATCTAATGCGCAGGTTGGATCGCAAGTCCTCCCGGGGCATGCTCTACGAGAACGAAGAGCTAAGATTGCGCACAATCAATATTAACGCTGAAGTTGAAAGAGGTGAGGAGCTTGACAACTATACAAGAATCCAATTTTTGTTCTTTATTAGGGCGAACACAGAAGCATCTCACAAACAAGTATATTATGTAATGGGAAACAATTTAAAAGGAAACATCCAACTGACGGCCGGTTTCAATTTTCTATCTACAGATAGATTGATTACTTTTTTTTGATATCGGGGGGGAAATATAATAATAATAATAATAATAATAATAAAATGGTTTATTTAATACCACAACAAAAATATTTAAATTTAAAGATAAACAATTTTTGAAAAAGATTTTAAAACATGCTTAGTTGTGGATTCCTGGTGGCTGCAGTAGGTATTGAAAACCCGTAATGCACAGTCCACCAGGTCACCACCCTTTGGAATCTGTTATAAAATCAGGTATTAAAGAAAGTGAAAGATAAGAAAAGGAAAGATAAAACTTCCCCGATTCCCTCACCATCTTGCAGCAGCTCGAGACCACTTCGTACTACTGCCAGTCCGTGTGCCCTTTTTGTCGCCTTTTAAGACAGGCAGGACACCTATACCTTTGACACTATTCTATGAGCCCGAGACTACAGGGCTGAGATAGATTTGATTACTAGCGATAGGTATGTGACATTAGCACACATAATACTTGCGTCAAAATTCTCCAGTAACCAAATCTGTCTGCAGATAGAATATTGAAACCGGCCGTAAATGAATATTGTAACTGCGTAATTGAAAACAAAGTCAAACAAAGAATGGAAACGAAGGTTGAATGTGATAATGACGAAAATAGGAGTAACACGGAATCGATGTCTGTTGTCCCGAGGGCGTCTAACCGCTTTCGCCCACAATATTAACAGAAAACAGTCGGACATGCGTTTGTACTGTCTGCACTTAACAGTAAATGGCCAAAAATAAAGTAAAACACACATGAAACGTACATGCATGCATTAGACACAGTATCTATTTGAAAACAGTGGCTTTCTCGCGGGGTAGAACATGATCTATAACTAAATAGCAATCACAGGAGAAACAACAAGCAATTCTACTGATATTATGAATTACTAAAGCTTATTGTGGGTCAATGCAACTGGCGTGAATGCTGACGCCCGAAAGTTTTCACCTTCACAGATTGAATCACCTACCTTTCTGGAGGTCTGCTTTCTCTCTTCGATAATGTCTCACAATACGACATGCGCACAGGCCAATCGGACATAAAGAAGCTGAAGCGGGAGAACGAGCAGCTGAAACGCGAGATATCAGCCCTCCGTTACGAGTACGACCGCCTCGAGAGCATGCTGAGGGAGAGGCGCTCATCGCCGGAGCACTCGGACGTACGGACAACATTTCTTATAGCATCACCAACGTTTCAGTCTCTTCGAATCCACTGTTTTTTTTATGTTAGAAAATGGCAAACGAGCTGGCGGTTCACCTGATGTTAAGTGATAACCGCCGCCTATGGACATTTGCAACACCCGTAGGGTTGTTAATGCGTTGCCAACTCTAAATACAGTGGGCCCCGGCTACCACACTCACCAGACGAAACGTAGAAGTGTAAAACTTCTATTTACGCCGGTCTTCTATGAGGTCGTGGTTTTTACCGGAACGGACCTGCCCATTCGTGCAACATTGAACACTGTTGCGTGACCCTACCACTGTTGAACATAGGCCTCTCCCACAGACCGCCACGAAGCACGATCTTGAACCACCTGCATCTATCATCGTCAGTCAACCTAGTCGGTGATGGAACTGATGAAGGGTTGTTGTCGACCGTCGTCATCTACAATACCTGACGGGCTGATGTGACTAGCGAGATGAAACGCGAAGTATATATACTTCTACAGCACACTGGTCTTCTGTGAGATAGAGGTACTTCCCCGGATAAGCCTGCCCATTCATACGACAGCCGAAGTTGTTGCATTTACGATTCTGTTTTGCATTGTCCTACCGTAGTTCAGAGTATTCTTGATAACACACTAAAAACAGAAATGTATGTGGAATTGGAAAAATGGTCACATTTAGCAATACTTGAAATATGACGATTTCTGTCCACAATTTTTTTCGAGAAGTTATTTTTTGTAATTGATACTTTATTGAACCTTTGTATGTAAGTCTTTGTGTGTATGTATGTTCCCTATAGACATCAAAGCTGCTGGACCGATTCTGATGATTATTTGCAATGCTCAGATCAATACTTTTTTTTAATATAAATTAGTACGAAGCCTGTGCGGAGTGCTAGTATTAAATAACGTGTAGGAAGAACTGTTATAAATTCATTTATTCAGTTTTACAAATTAAAACATATAAGACAGTAATCTAAATCAATATTGTAAGAACTATCGCCAATAATAAGAAATTGTTTTTAGTGTTGAGTCAAAATAAAATTTAATTAGAATTATCAAATTACTTTACCCTAAAACTTAATATCAAATTAAAGTTATCATAAAAATTAAAGCGACAGATTCTAACAAACGTGTAAATATTAAAAAAGCTAGTATTAATCTAAAACGTGAAGAGGGCTCGGATTAAAAACATCTACAAACGGATTCCATCCACGATAACAATCACAGACTTCTATACAAAGATACGTACGGCCCAATTTCTGTGCAGCCTCTCTTAATGCTGCCATAAGGAGGGTCAATTCTTCCGCTTGCAAATCAGATTCGATGAACAAACTGTACAAATCAATACACTTCTCGATAAACAATTTTATTTTGGACGAATTTACAAAGTCACTGATGCTTCTCTCATATTCACAAATATGAATGTTCTCCAAACCCGAAAATTTACTAAAACTAGCAAACAATGTCTCGTAATCAACGTCTTCTGTTGTCAATTTGATATTCTTCAAATTTTTTGCAACTTGCGCGCATTTCGCTAAAGAATTTATATATGTTCCGAACGTGTTTATCCTGTCTCTATTCTCCACGTAGAGATCTAGCGTTTGGAGGAAAGGAGAGCCTGCAAATAGTATTGGGAAGAAATCATCTGTTATCCAAATGTTGCTCAAGCGCAGTAAGACGAGATTAGACAACGACGTAACGCCAGCCGTCAATCTAATCGGTCGACTGCGCCTTAATAGTGAACCGTTCTTTCTGCAAAAGTCAGTGAGGGTGAGCTTGGTTGGTGAAAACTCCAAGTTTTCTTCGAATTCCTTGCAAGAGTCAATGCAATACCAATCATTTGATAAATCCATCAGTCTCATTTTTATCTTGTTGTGCATACAAATGTATGTGGGAAAGTAATCTTTCAATTCCTGATGCAGACTTTCAAAAAACTGTGCATTAAAATCAGTGCTATCTTTATTCCAAGCCTTAAATACAATATTTAAGTCCAACATAAAATCTTGCGGAAGAACAGGGCTCACCTTCACCTGCAAGTCGCTACAGACGTCACGAAATAATGTTGCGAAAATGGGTGAGACGTATACTTGAATCATTTCTAAGTACATGATAAATACGTATTCAATTTTCTCGTAATCCAAATTCCTTATACCCTTCAGATAGTACGAAGTCTTGTGCGTTACACGGCAGTCCCTAATAAAATAGGATAGTCTAGAAAAGTTTATCAAAATTATTTCATCTTCTTTGGAATCGCCGTCAGTTAAGAAATCATTCAGCTCGTCATAATTATCCGCGATTGTGATTTTTACTTCTTGAACATCTGGTACATCTTTCAAAAACTTCAATGGAGTATCACGATCTTGTAAGTCGAATACGACAAAATGAATATTGGTAAACTTATTTTTTTTAAAAACGTCTATACAATTCTTCCAGGTTCCGTTTTGTTTACACTTACTAGAATCCTTAAAGAAGTTGATACATATAATTTTCAAAGCTTTTGGACAAAATTCCGATATGTCTGATAGAAAAATACTTGTAAACGTAACATCTAAAGATTGCAAGTTATGAAATTTTGGTACGTAGAATTTTAAAGTTGTCACTGTTATGTCTTGTACACCGCTCAAATTTAGTTCTTGAATGTAATCGCCTAAATTAAGGCAAAGATCTTCTTGCAAGGTGTTTGCGGTAGCTATCCGGCTTCTTGACAAAACTAACTTTTTCACATGACATGGCGCAAAAAACTTTCTTATACTTTTCGACGCATTATATAGGTTTATTTTTGATATCACGTCCAAATAGTTAATAATAAGTACACATAATTCTATTGGTAAATCGAATAAATTCATTTAAACTGAAAGTTATGCCTAAAAGTTTTGAAAACTATATTTTTTTAAAATAACGCCGTACAAAAGTCTATAAAATGGTATGACATTCAAATGTCAAATTACGTTCTTTTTTCACGAACAAAGAGTTTGTATTTTTCAATTAGTTTAGCAGGCTGGCCGATGATAGACCGATGTATAAGAAAAAAAGGTTAAACATCATTAAAGGAAAAATTCCAAAAATAAAAAAATCGAATATTGAGGTAGATTTTGGTACTTACAAGTTTTCGCGAAAATCTAAATATGCCCATATCTTTTTATCGTGTTGGCTTTTATACACCTAATAGAACACCTGTAGAGTCCCTATTATATAGACCTCAGTATCTGATATAAATTTCAACTTGTCGTTGTTGTATGTCCAACCGTTCCTGAGGAAATCGGTGGTGACACACGGACAGACAGACGGACTAGAGTCTGATCTTATATGGGTTCCTTTTTTACCTCATAATGTTCGGAACCTTAAAAACCAAGTTTAAGATGCACCTTGGAATATCTATCGATCGCCGATCGAACGTTTGTATAATGCGTTAAGCGTTTGTGAATAAAGCACAGTATCGCTTGGCAGGACAGCGTGTCGGTGTGCAGCGTTTGCCCGGAGTGCATCAGTGTGGACGGATCTGCCCGCGCTGTCGCCTTCCACGACCTCAGTGTAGTCCCTGAGGAGGGCGAGGATGGGAACAAGGTGAGGGCAGACCTATACAATTCATGTAATTACTCTCCTTTGATCTACCGGCGGGCTTTCCGAACCGGCGCGACCTGAGAACCTTCGAGAACGGAGCCTACTCTTTCCTCAAAAGCCGGCAACGCATTTGTAAGCAGGTGTTCATGGGCGGCGGTAATCACTTACCTTCAGGTGAGCTTCCTGCCCGTTTACCCCTTTTCTCCATTAAAAAAAACTCTTTGGATTTAAGAATTAACTAAGAAAATCATGTTTTTGACTTCATGTCAGGAAACTACATAACACGACTGTCTATCTTTTTCGACTCTTATCAAAACAAGTACCGATTTTAGTCTTTCACTCTCCTCCAATCACCGTATTTGTTAATAAATGCATAAATCTTTATTTTACATTTCCCAAAAATTGATATTGTTCAAATAGGTGACTATAATTCTTAAGGTGCGACTTGGTGAAGTTAACTTTCTGTGGGTCCTGTGACCGGCGAAAATTTAAGGAGGTCCGTATGCCTCAATAGAAATCATCGTGGCAATATGAGACTTGCACCTCCTATTTTTATAAGATAACAGACAAATCCGCTAGAATCCCTTCCATTGTACGGATGAAAATAACTATTTCTGAGAATGGATATGAACTATTACATGTGTTACAAAATTTTTCATATGCTGGCAGTGATATCGAGTTCGTAGGCAAGGTTTAAATAGAGCGTTTTCCACCATATATCATTCATGAAACTTTGGACTGCAGAATTCAAACTCTATTCACATTATATATTTATGGATTGATACTTTTGCAGCGGCTAACAAAGGACATCTATTAAGAGGCATTGTAAATTTGGAATACGGTGACATTAACATAATTTTTGCAGAACCATGACTGTCTCTAGTACTCAGCAAATTGTTAACCGAACTCTAATGTCACCGTTCGAAAACGTCGACCATGTAACATCAAAATCGACAGGGTGAGGAGGGGGCCAAAGAATTCCAGAAACACAGGGCGGTTGCCGACAACACCAAACACACAGATAGTGCTAAAATATAAAACCAATAAGTGTTTCCACGCCAAGAAGCACGGCGTAGCCAACACAACGCGTACGCTAAATAAACCCGTGTTCCAAGGGCTGTTCTCAACCACAGTCAACAACCATCGAGGCCACAATCCACGCAACGTGATAATTACTCCCTCAGTAATGCGCGTGAGCACATGCCCAAAGTCCCCCGCATTCATATCATACTCATGGAGACTGCCCGTTCCACGGGCTCTGTCTTCGATGAAGCTTTAATAGACCATGGATATAAAATGATGATGAAAGTGAGAACATGGTTCAATAGAGATAATATCTCTAATATGTTGATAGTGTTCAAATTCCAGCGATAAGTTTTAACGTTTTAAAATGAGGAGCACATTTTTATTGGCAAGTCAGTTCATACTAAGAACAATACAGTACATAACTAGGAAAACTATTACTAGCGGTATGGCAACCAAAGTTTTTGGGAATAGTCAAATTAGTTGTGATTTAACCCAATCACGCCAATGATTTAAATACTTCTATACTACCTGTAATATAATCACCTTCATTAGTATTTATTCAATTACCAAACCTTAAAAAAGTTTAAGGATCCGAAGAAGATATGAATTATATATTCTTCTCAAACAAAACTGTTTCCTAACCCTTGGGATTCTCCAACCTTGTTCTTACAAATTTACTGATGATGCAGTGAACACTAACCATCTAACTACTAAAAGCATCCTAGAGAAGACACAGAGCACCATTTCATTAGAAGCGCATTGAAACGTTTGTAATGAAACAAATTGTCAGATTCGAGGTCGGCCGTATAGGAAAAAGCACAAGAAACTTGCGAGCGGATTTGACGTATCAATCGCGCGTCACAGTGACAACGGTCGGGACTAAGTCATCGGAGCGAAAATAGCCGTAAGCGTCGGTGAGGCGCGGTTCACGTGTAACCGCGCCGTCAAGCGCCCGAGATCACAAGAAAGAGTTGGGGCGACCTGGAGAAAATAAGCCAAGGGCGGCCACGGATTGTGCATGAATTTGTAACACCTAATGGCGGTACTTTATAAATAAACGCAGTCGCGCCGCGGACGGGTCGACGTGACGCCGTTAGTGGGACGTAGACGGAGAAATGTGTTCGTCAACAAATCGCCTTGGTCGTGGAAGTGTCTCCGTAGCAATTGCTATCGTTTCTTCTGTCCCCTTTGAGTGAACGACTCAGTGTCGCTGTATACAAAGAACTGGATAAATGTGAGAGTTTATTGTGCATGTTTTATCATAACTGGATAGTAAAATGGTTGTGTTTTCCATGTTCTTAATTACACTATTGAAATAAACGAATGTACCTATAATACGCTAATTTATTTCAGCGTGTCGTGGCGTATTCATACATTGTACAACTCGGCAGCATGCATGAATATATGCCATTTGGCTTATTATCTAATGACATACCTACAATAATAGTTTGACTAATCATAATTAATAAAAAACTACAAACTTAATATTTTTTGTTAGTGTTTCAATTCCTTTTCGACACAGCATCTATATTGATTTTGAGGATTTAAAATATTTGTTTACTACATCGATAGTTGTGTTTTGCTTAATATTTTCCTATTTTTACACACTCGCACATTTCTGGTGTGGTGGAGTCATAAATTCCTGCGCGACAAAAACAGTGCCTGACGTTAAATTTTACGATTTAGCGTCAGTCAACGAACAATTTCTGTAAAGCTTGAGTGACAGCACTGAAAGCAGACAATCCTATAGTAACGTTTAAAATAAAAATTAAACATACAGCTATGTTCCTTTATTTATAAATTTGTATCAAGTGGATATTGTGAAAGAAAAGTTTATACGAATAAATGTTAAGAAATGTGAATCAGCACGTGCTTACTCATTAGCTAATGAAACTGATCCCAATGCGCCACTTACCGGGTTTTCCCCTCAGTCTAAATTATCGCAAGCGTTATAATATCCACTCAACTACTACAGCATTGTGGTGTACTATAGCTTTAATGAGATTTACCCGCTGAATGGTATTACCCACATTGATTAAATGAAAGCGTTCTCCTTTCAGAGCGGCGTCGAATCTCCATGCACTTGTGAGGACTGTCAGAATGAAGCCGCGGTGGAGCGGCCACATGACCGACAGGAGAGTGAGGAAGCTGTGACCTCGCAAACGATGGACGGCCAAAAGGACCAGGCTCAAGCGAAATCTGAGGACGGTGGTCGCGAGCGGACAGTTGACGTTATTATTCATGATGCGCCTGACGTGCCTAGGTTCTTCCAGTCGGTGACGTCACCGCCTTGCCACGTCATAACGCCGCCGCCGCCCGGCTTCGTGATCGCCCCGTACCAGCCGCCGCGCTTCCACACTGGGGGCAACGTAGATGAGTTGCTCGGGGACGTGCAAGCCGCCCCCGCCATACACACCACCTTCATACAGCAAAACTCGGTCTTCATGTGCAACACCAGGCAGATATTGCAGAGGCAGTGCTGCTGCCAGAAAGAGAGCCCGACCGCCAAGCAGGAGCGGCAGCAGACGGCCGAAGGGCAGCCGCCGAAATCATACGTCACCGAGAAGAACATCGAACTGACATACGACTATCCGAGATCGACGCCCGTGAAGAACAGCCCGAGCCCGAAATCCAGTGAGGAGTTGACGACTACAACGGAGGTCGCCAGCACCGTCGTGTTCGTGGAGAGACGGATCCCGGTGAAGCCGAAGAAGTTCGACTTCTTCTTCCGCTCGCGCTCGGCCCCCGTCGGGGAACACGAGGAGCCGATATACGCAACGGTCAACAAGCTTCCGAAGAGGCTGCGCCGCATGGAGTTGGCGAATCTCGAGAGGGAGGTGGCGTATAAGGCGGGCGAGCCGGACTCGTCTGTTAGGACGGAAATGACGCTGAAAACGGACTCGGAATCGCAAGCGCCGCCGCCTGATGACGACACGAGCCGATCGGAAAGGGACAAGTCGACGGTGCCGCAGCGGCAGGAGTCGCCGAAGGCCAAAAAGCGGAAGCGCTTCTCGCTGACCTTCAAGAAAAGGGAGAGGAAACGGAGGGACAAGAAAAAGGAGGCCAAGAACGGGGCACCGAAGAACGGCGTGCCGGTTCAAGTGGAGAGCGATAATGAAAGGCTTATTGAGGGGGAGGCGCAAGAAGCTGGGAAGCACAGACACTGCAACCGCCACCGGCCGCGTAACACTCTCTCCTCTTCCAGCTCTGGCCCGCGATATAAGCGGGACAGCTATCAGGTACTTAATTGACACGAAAATTGACATTCCCCAATCGAACATACTTACGAGCAATTCCATACACAAATCTCGTACAACTCCGGCATCTACCTATCTGTAGAACTCGCTCCAATGCTATTAATACCATTTCGATTCTACAATTTGTCGAATTCGAACAAGCACGGCTAAACACTCCGCGATAATCGTGATGAAAATTATTATTAACGTCTCATTCGTATCAAGAACCAAGATTATCTTTGCATCTATTATGTGTCGTTTTATTTCTTCATCGACAGATTTCGACTTCAGTTTCTCCGCAATATGTTTGCTTTGACGTTTTAAATCTTCAATAACATTATTATAATTTTCTTCTTCTAAATCGACAGCATGACGTTTTAAAAAAATGTACTTTGACAAGTTGCGGGCTGCGGGGCATGTCGGGGACAGTCATGTTCAGTCCGTTCAGTGGGTTCAGTGCGTCCGGTTTAAATCAAATGATTCGGATCATTTTCACTTGCGTTTCTTTCAGGAGATGACGACCTCCCACTCGGAGCACGAGCGCACAAACAGCGTGTGCTCCTCGATGAACTCGCTCGGGTCTGCGTGCACGCACAAATCGAGGAAGCTCTCCGCCGCGCCGCAAGACGGCTCCATACCCTGGTGCGGCTGTTGGGGCGCGGGCTGCGTCTAGAAACTTCTAGAAGGCGTCGAACGCTGCTGTAGAAGTGATCGGTTTAATATAGTGTGTAACGTGCACAAGGGAACTGTCTTCTTCAACCTCTGTTGTAACCGAACTTGACGCTATGGCTGACTCTGCAAAACCGGTTGGGGCTAGCAGATCATCTTCCGTGCTCATTCTCACACCAAAGTGCTTGGAAATTCTACGAACTTTTAAACTTTTAATTATCAATGGACAGTAGGTAGTGAAGTGAACTTAGATTAGGTTTAACAGGAATCCAAAGAATATTAAAGTATGTAGGTCATATACCCAGAAGAGTTGATTCGTTCCAAATTTCTAATCAATTACCACACCGGAAGTTAGACATATCCAAACTTTTCGAGTTTTTGAATAGTGACGTCGTTTATTTAGTTTGGCACTGAAATATTATTAATACAATAATGCAATTTATTTATAAGGAATCATATCTTACCAAAGAATACTCAAGCAATATTATTGTAACTATTCATATTCAATAACTTAGTATCATGTATCATTAAAATTAACAAAATAATTATTAATCTGTGTATTAGTCTGAGTATGTCTAAGTCATGGTCTATGGCAACACAATTGCGGAACTGGAAACAAACATACAAATTATTTCTTATCTATTAAATTGTTTAATTGATCTATTTTTAAAGCACGAATGAAACTTGGATAAATATTGGTGCGGAATCTAATTCTGCTTTTTGTTAATTTTCAGCCTTTAAAGAATTAAAATTACAAACTTTCAACTTCTTGCATCACTGGATTTAGGATGATTATTATGTCAATTATAACCTATTAATGTAAATGAACTTTCGAGTTTGCTCACTGTTCATCAAATTTCAAGAATGAAACTAACATATCCGCAGACAATTGTGTACGCTTTGGAGTTAGTGAAAGTTTGGAGTGTGTGTAAAATATCGGTACTCGGTAGAAATCCTGTATATAATGTAATATATGTTCTGTAATGCATAGAAAATTCCTGTTCAAAACACAAAATAAATTATATTTTAACGAAGTTTTATCTAAGAGTTTAATTTTAATCATGAAAGAACTATGCACATTTCACCGGTCTTAACCATATCCGAAAACTTCACTACATAATATAAAACAAAGTAGTCGCGCTGTCCCTATACAGCGTGTCTTTACCACCGCGACAATAAATGAACACACGTCTAACGCTACTTGCCAATAGTCATAAAAAAATATTTTTTGCTTTTGTTTTTAAAAAACATTTCCCTCACTTTAGGATAACATTATCCTGTGTTGTAAGGACGTTTTACAAACATAAATTACACGAGGATAAACACCCAGATGCGAAACAACTATCCGTGGGTCGCACAAATATTTGTCCCGTGTGGGAATCGAACCCACGACCCCCGACGCCGAAGCCAATAACTTGGCAAATGCGCCACGGAGTCATCGAATTAACGTTAAAAAATCCATAATCAAAAAAAAATTTTTCAAACAAACTAATTAAGTAAAAAAGAAACAAAATTTGTACATCATATACAACTGCATCTGACTGATTCATACATTCAGAGACTTTTTCATTCGTTGCCACAACGCCGCATTACAAGCCCCTCCTTCTAACAGTATGTTTCGTCTCTTTTAAATTCATTCAACTAATTCATATGCTTTGCGACCTTTACATTAAAGTTTTATACGTAAGGGTGTTCTAAATTCTTTGTTTTGGAAAATTTGATAACTCGTTAAATATTGATATTTAAAGAATGTAAATCTTTAATACAATTTTAAAAAGTTATCCTCTATGTGTGTGTTAATTTTTTGTCGCGATGGTAAAGACACGCTGTATATGCTTAGATCTTTAAAACTATGCAACGGATCTAGATGCGGTTTTTTTTTTAATAGACTTAATAGACGTGATTCAAGAGGAAGGTTTATATATATAATTCATGCATAATATAGTAGAGAAATACTGATAATTTTAGAGGTTTCTAATGCGATGTCGAAAACAAATATTCAGCGATGCACCCGTACGAAGCCGGGGCGGGTCGAAAACTTTAAGCTTAAGACTAATTTTTTGACGACCCGATTTGCGTAATTGATTGTGATCCAGCCTGTGCGCCAGAGGCTGTGGGTTTGATCCCCACCACTGGAAAGATATTGTGTTATGAACGTAGTGTTATTCTAGTCTCTAGTGTCTGGGTGTTTAAATATTTATATGTAATTATTTACAAATGAAAAGTAAATAAGTATATTTATAATTTATCTATTACCCAATAGCACAAGCTTAGCTAGCATAGGACTAGATTACGTTGTGTAAACATTTGTCGCCAAATATTTATTTATTTTTAATTTGTCTTTAGGGAACTAGAGAGGGATGAAGATTATATATAAATGAAAAGTCAACGTTTTTTTTACATAGATGGTTATTTATTATAAAATAGGTATGACACATTCTTTTGAACTGTGCATTACAGTTAATTGAGACGCACATAGCAAAATTGATTTACCAACTGAAACTTCATTACTCGCTTTATCCTTAAAATATATTAACAAAAGGCAAATACTAATATTCGGTATGCTGGAAGGCTGGAATAAATTATTAGTACTATATGGGACTGAAATGATATTCAAATATTCGCATTGATTTGTTAGAAAATATAGTAACACAAATCTCTATATCCAGTTAGCAATACAATCGGGCATATCATGATAATTATAAAAAAAATATATTTTTAAACTTTACTACACTTATAGATAGATAGTATAAGGAAAATTTCAAACTAATTAAGTAAAAAAGAAACAAAATTTGTAACATCATATAAAACTGCATCTGACTGATTCATACATTCAGAGACTTTTTCATTCGTTGCCACAACGCCGCATTACAAGCCCCTCCTAACAGTATGTTTCGTCTCTTTTAAATTCATTCAACTAATTCATATGCTTTGTGACCTTTACATTAAAGTTTTATACGTAAGGGTGTTCTAAAATTCTTTGTTTTGGAAAATTTGATAACTCGTTAAATATTGATATTTAAAGAATGTAAATCTTTAATACAATTTTAAAAAGTTATCCTCTATGTGTGTTAATTTTTTGTCGCGATGGTAAAGACACGCTGTATATGCTTAGATCTTTAAAACTATGCAACGGATCTAGATGCGGTTTTTTTTTTAATAGACTTAATAGACGTGATTCAAGAGGAAGGTTTATATATATAATTCATGCATAATATAGTAGAGAAACACTGATAATTTTAGAGGTTTCTAATGCGATGTCGAAAACAAATATTCAGCGATGCACCCGTACGAAGCCGGGGCGGGTCGAAAACTTTAAGCTTAAGACTAATTTTTTGACGACCCGATTTGCGTAATTGATTGTGATCCAGCCTCCTGCGCCAGAGGCTGTGGGTTTGATCCCCACCACTGGAAAGATATTGTGTTATGAACGTAGTGTTATTCTAGTCTCTAGTGTCTGGGTGTTTAAATATTTATATGTAATTATTTACAAATGAAAAGTAAATAAGTATATTTATAATTTATCTATTACCCAATAGCACAAGCTTAGCTAGCATAGGACTAGATTACGTTGTGTAAACATTTGTCGCCAAATATTTATTTATTTTTAATTTGTCTTTAGGGAACTAGAGAGGGATGAAGATTATATATAAATGAAAAGTCAACGTTTTTTTACATAGATGGTTATTTATTATAAAATAGGTATGACACATTCTTTTGAACTGTGCATTACAGTTAATTGAGACGCACATAGCAAAATTGATTTACCAACTGAAACTTCATTACTCGCTTTATCCTTAAAATATATTAACAAAAGGCAAATACTAATATTCGGTATGCTGGAAGGCTGGAATAAATTATTAGTACTATATGGGACTGAAATGATATTCAAATATTCGCATTGATTTGTTAGAAAATATAGTAACACAAATCTCTATATCCAGTTAGCAATACAATCGGGCATATCATGATAATTATAAAAAAAAAATCTATTTTTAAACTTTACTACACTTATAGATAGATAGTATAAGGAAAATTTCAAACTAATTAAGTAAAAAAGAAACAAAATTTGTAACATCATATAAAACTGCATCTGGCTGATTCATACATTCAGTCCTCTATGTGTGTTAATTTTTTGTCGCGATGGTAAAGACACGCTGTATATGCTTAGATCTTTAAAACTATGCAACGGATCTAGATGCGGTTTTTTTTAATAGACTTAATAGACGTGATTCAAGAGGAAGGTTTATATATATAATTCATGCATAATATAGTAGAGAAATACTGATAATTTTAGAGGTTTCTAATGCGATGTCGAAAACAAATATTCAGCGATGCACCCGTGCGAAGCCGGGGCGGGTCGAAAACTTTAAGCTTAAGACTAATTTTTTGACGACCCGATTTGCGTAATTGATTGTGATCCAGCCTTGTGCGCCAGAGGCTGTGGGTTTGATCCCCACCCCTGGAAAGATATTGTGTTATGAACGTAGTGTTATTCTAGTCTCTAGTGTCTGGGTGTTTAAATATTTATAATATGTAATTATTTACAAATGAAAAGTAAATAAGTATATTTATAATTTATCTATTACCCAATAGCACAAGCTTAGCTAGCATAGGACTAGATTACGTTGTGTAAAAATTTGTCGCCAAATATTTATTTATTTTTAATTTGTCTTTAGGGAACTAGAGAGGGATGAAGATTATATATAAATGAAAAGTCAACGTTTTTTTACATAGATGGTTATTTATTATAAAATAGGTATGACACATTCTTTTGAACTGTGCATTACAGTTAATTGAGACGCACATAGCAAAATTGATTTACCAACTGAAACTTCATTACTCGCTTTATCCTTAAAATATATTAACAAAAGGCAAATACTAATATTCGGTATGCTGGAAGGCTGGAATAAATTATTAGTACTATATGGGACTGAAATGATATTCAAATATTCGCATTGATTTGTTAGAAAATATAGTAACACAAATCTCTATATCCAGTTAGCAATACAATCGGGCATATCATGATAATTATAAAAAAAATATATTTTTAAACTTTACTACACTTATAGATAGATAGTATAAGGAAAATGTAGGAGATAGCTGAATTACAATGTTCTATCCGTCACGAATAACATTCATACCCGTAAATCATTCCCGGCTTATTATCTATATCAATATTTATAACAGATAGCGATTTATTACACGATCACTCTCTCCCATCCAATTGCCATCCATTTCTCAAAATGATCTTCGTTGATACTGTAATTGATACGGGAATTGATAAGTAGCCATGATTTAAAAAGCCAACTAAATAGCATTTACAAAAGTCGAAAACCATAAGAAAGATATTTATTTAAGCGCTTCAACATGAGCGAAGCCGCGTGCGAAAAGCCTAGTATTTTAATAAAAGGGGTTCCGAAATTGGTTCACTTTTTTCACAAGAGCAAACAGGCAAACAAACTGTTGATAAACACACGAGGCTGTGTTACATTACTAGTGAATTCTGTGACTCTGAACAGCAGACTATCGCGTGACCCCACTACTGTATAAAATTACTTATGGAACATATATTAACAAATAGTTTATTGCATTCCACATACGCAATACATCCGTACGCAGTAGACTTTATAAACAGCGAGTAACGAAGCTTCAGATGGCTAAGCGTACATTGATTCTACTAAGAACATTCGAGGACCTACAGGAAAGAATTTTAGACGCGAAACACATAAGTTAAACACCGAATAGACTTAATAGAGGAATCACAAGAATCACCATACGTCACCAAACAAAATGGCACAAGTTACAAGACGAAAAAAAAATACAATAAAAGCGATTGTGCGAGAAATCTAAAAATTATATTGCATAGAATAACAAAGATATGGCTTTAAAAAACTCTTTCATATAAAAAAAATAATCTCAAATAAATAAATTACCCAAATAAAAAATTAATTAATGTACAATATTTACATCAATTATTTATATAGAAATTGCATTTTAAAAATAATTAGGGGAAATCTTGAAATTTTCAAAATTTGCTCGAGTCTTGTGAGATTTACGAAGAGCAAGGTTTATATTATTGAAACGTAATTTAAAAAAAACAACAACTCGAAACGGCTTTGTAGGCTCTATGTCTTTTTCGATTCATAGTAAAATATAAAAAATCCCCACGTTACACTCCCCCTGTTGGACATGGTGTCGTCCCTTTCCCACACCCTCCCCAACCGTGTTCGGAGCTCGCGTGCGAAAGGGACGAACTTTACAATGACTAATATCATATCGATAAAAACTTACCTGAATACACCTTAACTATGCTTAATGGAGACATCTAATATATTAAATATAATACTTATTGATTAGTTACATCGATTTCACATCTCGCCTTGCGCCATCACGGATCCATCCGAAGCGTATTACAATTTCCGAAAGCCTTTTTCATGAGATACAAAGAATTACGAAATAAATGACAATAGTGTCTTATAATATTGCACTTTTAATCGCAATACACAAATATGGCATTAATATGTATAACAACAAAATAGAGACGTTCACGTAATAAGGGACAGATTAAAAACCAAAACCCAAAGATGGATACGTTATCTGTGACAGATATAAATAAAGCGGTGAAAGACATTTCACGAACCAATAGTTACGTACAAAATATATCAGTCTATATACAAACACACATCAGTAGGCCAATCGGTGACAGAAAAATTCCCGCGATATTTTTTAAAAAACAACTAAGAAAATTAAGACCAAACTATCGACTTGTAAAATCATTATCTAAAAATAAAAATAATTTAAAAAAATAACTGGACATCGATAAAATAAATGAATTTGGAATCACAAGCTGCCTGAGATTAATGGATTACAGATATATATATTATTAATAAAATATAACAACTTTTAAAAAAATAAAGAATATACAAAAATAAAACATGCTATATACTTAAATTTAATCACTGTGATAATTATAAAGCCTCCAAAAGGAAACACAATGATAGTTGAAAATACAATTAAAAGTGGTACAGATATGTCATGTAAGCACAAAGCAAACCATTCTGCTTTCTGCGTACAAACTTGATCTTTTCCTTACACATTTCATAATAACTGTACCATAAAAATATAATCAAATCACTTCATTCTTCTTCTTCTTCTTTGATTAATGGCCTCTCTTAAAAGAATTCTGCCAAAATCACTTCATTGTATTATAAAAGTATTTTAACTGTCAAAAATCAATCAAAATGACAGATCTTTAAATGCAAAAATTAGAAATTTTAACAAAAAATAAAAACGTTGTCTATGGTAATAAACAGTCCTATAGAGAGTTCATTGCGAGAAAGTGCGTAGAAAATAAGCGATCCATTTAGCTTATATTCAGTTATTCTATATATTTGCGTACAAACGTTATAAAAAGAAATAAAAAAGGACGTCAGACATTTGTAACAATTACGGACGCTAATTACGACAGCGTCTATAAATATCCCGTTTGTAAAGACGGGATGGAGAAATAAATAAATTAATTACAATTAGGGAATAAAATATGGCCCATTCCACGTGATGCCATCATATCATCACATAAACATCCATTTAGGATCTAAAACGGAAAATTGGCAAATTACTTTCATATATCACACACGCCCATCGGCAAACGAACCAACAAAGTATATATCATATTATAGCGATGACACATTATCGCTAGACTGTAACGATTACTATCTAGCGAATCACCTGGCCGTTAAGCTAGCTAGACTGGCGTTTTTAGTCTGTGGCAAGACTGTGCATATTTTATTAGTCTCGCGTAAATTGGCTCTACTCGAACGGAGCTAAACGAGGATCATACACTTTATCATCTAAAATACCAAAAGAGAGTATATCCACGTGTAGTTTTCGCCAGACATATATATAGCGATATTTCTCAATAGATGTCGCTGTTACAATCGTTTATACAATACATAATATGGCATTAAAATGCATAGAATTGTTTATATATTATCAAGCGGATGAACAAATAAAATTTTCAAACAATACATACAAGCTCTTACTATATACTTTTACACTTATGTATATTTAGTATTAAAATGAAAAAAGATACATGAATATCACTATATAAGTTAGTCTGTAATATTAACAATTACACAATAATTTAATTCTCGGCTGAACGGAATGTGCTCGTACGTGGTGTTGCCATTAATCGATAATACAAATATAATGCTTAGTAACAATACCGATTACACCTAATTTAAAAAAAATCCCTTTAAATACTTTTGTGCACGAATTTCAACCTTAAGACTATTACAAATGCGTTTATAATTGTAATAACATCTAAGTTTAAAATACAGTTCGAATCCGACGACGACGTATAAACTGGGCGAAAGCCATCGTTACACGTTCGGATCGAAATCCATTCTCGTTTTTTTTTCCTCTATTCGTTTAATCAAGAAAGCGCTGAACATCAAAATGCAAGCAACCTGTAACATCGCGGTACCACTAAGCACGTTATGATATGAGAACACTTGTAAAAAATAAACCGCATATATCCCGTAAAGTCACTGAAACGTCCGTTGACATTTTGTTTTTGAACATACAACCTACATTACAACAACGATAGCTTGCGATTAAGGGGAGGGGCACACGGCGTGCCTCCACAGCCCCACCGAAACTGGCAGTCAACTGTCACTGTCACTCGTTTGACATGTGTCAGTCAAACGGCAGCGGTACAAAAGTGGCCAAACTTACGCACTAGACTATGTCAACGTATGACGTCACAAACGGCGGCGGACTCGATAGAAACGCTACGGCCCGTCGCGTTCACACAGTGACGTCATTGCGTGCAGCTGACGTCAGACGTCATCCATCACGAATGCAACATGCATTGTGGGTTCCTGAAATAATGTTCAAAATCGACTTCACACACCGTTCCTTTTTTGAAATAAATGTAAAAAAACTAAAAAAGATCCTTTAATGCATGCGTTAATTTTAAAGAAAATGACATTAAATGCAATTGATAACGGTTGAAATAACTTTCAATAAAAGAAAAGCGGCGGCAACTATTTTACCAATAATTGCAAACTGGCTCCACTTCACATAGAAAAATGTACCATTTTTTGTACGTAAATAAAAAGAAATATTGTTTATGATTTTTGCTTTTTCTAAAGTACTTGGGTTTACAATAGTTTCGGTTTTGCCAGCTTAAGGTACGACAAATAAACTTGTCAGTTTCCCAAAGCTTTCAGATTCAAAAAAATTTGTGGGTGTACAAATGCTGCCACAAAATTTCATATCAATTCGACCTATGGTTCAAAAGATAGAAATCATTGCCACCTGCGCCACCTATCCGGCACTAAAGTAACTATGTTCATAGCAGTGTTCATGTCGCCCTTTATATGTTCGTAACTTTCATATCAATTGCGCCAACGGTTCTAGAGTTTTAGGTGAACATACACACATAAATTCTTTTTTATATAATATATTTATAGATGTCAAAAAGTTGTTGTTAGTTGCCCTGGTAAAACCGTGGAGCCGGTCGCTTTGCAACTCAACCTCATTACATCGCCCTTTGTCGGTGTTAGCGCGCATCGTGACGCACCAAAACACAAAAACTCGTCGTCTCACTCACACACGTTCCTCACACCATGACGAAGGCCTCCTGGCCGCGGAACAGGAAGGGGTGCTGGTCGATCATCGTCTGCACGATGTCCTCGAGGTAGGGCCGCGTCATCTCGAAGCGGCCCATGTCCGAGAACTGCACGGGCAGCAGCGTGGGCCACCAGCATATCGCCAGGTTCTTGCTGTCCATCGAGTTCAGCTTCGAGTTGTCGGCGACCCTGGACGGAGCGCGAAATCTAACATTTACAAACTTCAGAACATCCTTTGTTGACATAACATTATCCTGTGTTGTTAGGACGTTTTACAAACATAAATTGCACGAGGACAAACACTCAGATGCGAAACAACTATCTGTGGGTCGCAGAAATAGTTGTTCCGTGTGGGAATAGAACCCACGACCACCGACGCCCGAGTCATCAAAATATATTACTAATGTTTGTGCTAGATGGATAACTACAAAACCACTTTATGTCCTATTTCCATTTAGCCAGGCTATTACGTGGCGCTGCCACAGTAGTTTACATACGACCCACATGAGAATCGCCTTCCCGTGTGCGTGTATGCATGCGCGCGCGCTTGATTAGTACGTGAGCGTGTGCGTTTGTTTTTTTTGCTTGATGAGCCACTTTTGGCCTTAGGGGCCTAAGCTATTATCTGACTGGTGTGCGTGTGCGTATCCGCCCGTATGACCCACCTGGCGAAGTGGTGCAACACGTAGTCGAGCGTAGCGCGCGCAACGGGCGTGAGTGCCGAGTTGAGGAGCGCCCGCAGCGCCAGCAAGCGCCAGCTGCGGTCCTTCAGCTCCACTCCGCCCGCTATGCAGCCGCGCATCGCTGCATGCACAATAAGGGTATATATGAAAAGAGTATTGCATCGTTTCAACGCTACCATTACATTAATACGTGAAGTACGAGGGTATTGCATCGTTTCAACGAAGCTACCATTACATTAATACGAAAATCAGAAACTTTGGTACTAATTTTTGCTAAAAATTAGGCGAAAGAAGAAGTACTAATCGCGTAGAGGTGAATTTATTTTAAATACATAGTACAAAACAAAGTCGTCCCGCTGTCAGTCTGTCCCTATATATTATTAGATCTTTTTAAACTACGCAACTGATTTTGACGCGGATTTCTTTAATACATAGAGTGATTCAAGAGAAAGGTTTATATGCATAATTCATGCAGAATATAGTAGAGAAACACTGATAATTTTAGAGGTTTCTAATGCGATGTCGGAAACAAACATTCAGCATTGCACCCGTGCGAAGCCGGGGTGGGTCGCTAGTAGCTAATAATACTGCATCATTCTAAAATAATCAACCGTCCGAAAAATATTAGACCTACTATTCTGATATCAGATCTTTTAAAATAGATACAAAATATTCTATTTAAAAAAAATAATATATGAAAGAGAAGAGTGCAGAAGGACTTGACTTCTGCTTACCAGCTATATCCTCCAGTTGTGCCATGCTGGTCTCGTCTAAAAGAGGTGGCAGCTTCTTCGAGAAGAAGTCCTTGAGCGCAGTTGCCACAGCGTTCACCGGTATATCCAGCGAGTCCAGGTCTATGTTGGGATCTGAAAAGAAATATCAAATATTCAACGAGTAGATATTGTTTGTCTGGATGTAGTAATTATACAGCTTTATAGGTTTGTCAAAACTGGGTGCCCTACTTATAATCTACTATCTTACTACCTTATCTTTACAGATAATATTAACATTTAAGTTGCCTATTTCAACAGTTTTTCATATCTGTTTAATTTTTCAATCATCTGTCAGTGTTTGTTCACATAAAAAATTATCTGCTCACCCAGATGATCAAAACACAATTTAAAAAAAAGGTTTATTTACTTTTGATATACATAAGCAGTTGAATGCCGTTTGTGAATGTAAATTAAATTTTTATTCGAATATAAAGTTTACACGAATATCGTCAATGGGTTAGGACCGCTGATGAACGTAAATTATTTTTTTTTCGCATATAATATTGACGGCTACATTGGCAATGGATTTGGCATCGGAATGGCACCTTCATAGAACTTGGTGAAGAGCATGTCGACATGCGCCCTGTTGCCCGGCACCCGGTACAGCCCCTCGGAGGCGAGCCCCTCCCGCTCGATGAACTCCACGCATTTCTCCACGAAGAGCGGCACTCCGTGGGGGCCCTGCGAATCGCCCTCTCGTTGATTGCTGGCTCTTTTTGGGCTGGCGGTTCACGTGATGTTAAGTGATAACCGCCGCTCGTGGACACTAATATCACCCGTAGGGTCAAAAATAAGTAATAATAAAAAATAATAAAAAAGTAATAAATAATAATAAAAAAGTTAGGTACAACTAACTACGACTAGCCCGATCGACAGCCTAAACTGTTTCGTGACGTCCAATGGAGAGCTTTTTAGAATAATATATAATTTTCCGTGATTAACATTACAGCGGTTCTCCTTTCTCGACTTTTCAAGGGTTAATATTATAGCAATTCTCCTTTCTCGTGGCCCAGCTAAGGTCGGTAGTCAACATGTGAATCATGTTCTTACTGGTATTAGCTAGATATTTTTTACGGCTAACCATCTGCCTGAATTCAAGCCTCCTTGAATAGAAACATCCAAATCTGGAACTATTGGACGATCTGTGGGTCACACAAATGCTTGTCCCGTGTGGGAATCGAACCCAGGACCCCGACACCTGTGGCAACAGCTAAGCCATTGCGCCATCGAGTCATCGGCTTCATATCGAACGTTGCTGAAGTTAATTATTGATTATTATAAATCATGTGGTTTGCATGAATTATGGCGCATGAAAGTTTAATTTACTTTAGTCGTTGTATCATCGCCATTTGTAATATTTTGTCAGCAGGCGTTATTATGAAATATAGATAGCATGCAATGCCAAAATGTAAATCCCCGATTACCTGCGGGCCCCAATTTTGTATTGACTGCGTATTCGTTAATTGCGCCGCGTTCTTCTTTGAGTCTTTACTTTTGGAGAATTCCTGTAACAATAAAATTAAGTAATATAAATAATATATCCCAGGGTGCTACTTAGGTTATTTTTTATGTTCTCGGAAGTACCCACCGGTGTCCCTCGGTACTGGTCAAGCGAAGTACCAAGGGGTACCGGTGGGTTCCGCAGGAGATCCCAGAGTCCCTCCAAACGTACAGGTACAGAAGGTGGCAACCGAGGGGGTTTTAGTGGGTGGTATGTGCCCCACATAATCCTGTCACGTGAGAGGTGACAGGGTATCTTTTGAAGATTTCCTCCAGGGGAAAAAGGTTATTTTTTTATATTATGGTTGTGTGGTAGTGGCGGTTGGTAGTGGCTGTTGGTGGTGACGGTTGGTGGTGGTGGTGTCACCTTGTGGCGGCGGTCGTGCTTGCCGAAGGGATGCGGACGGCGGCGGGAGTCGGCCGCACTGGACGAGGAGTTGTCCTGCGCCGAAGAGGGGTATTCGCCCGTCAGCAACTGGGAGCACAAGCGGTTAACACAAGTTCAGCTCAGTTGAACGCGAGTTTAATTAACCTTCATTTCGGTAGGAAAACACTGTGAATACTGACCTCATACGGCATTCGGTCCTGATTTGCGTGAAAATATATACTTATATTACACAAAAATCGTAACCACAAACACACGATCGTGAATTGGTCGAAACATGCGTATTTTTCACGCTTGATCACGACAAATCTGTCTGTGTATAAGGCTCAGCAAAGAGTCGGTAAGGATTAAGTCTCAATAAAGAAAGTGAAAAAATAAAAATAGACAGTAACATCTGTTAGACTAAAAACAAGTAAGAAACGAACAGAATTGTAAGGAATGAAACGGTGAAATAAAAAATTATTTACTTGCTCAATGTTTTGGCGCTCATTTTTAATTCTATATACTTATCATAAGTTTCAGTGCGGAAGCAACGAAATTGTTAATTGAAATTTTAAGTGCTAACTCATCATATGTTCACCGTTGAGGTGAACGAAAACATCGTAAGGAAACCTGCATATTTTTGAAATAACAATAAAAATATTTCGAAGTTATGTGAAGCCTGCTATTCCACAGTGGTAAGAAAGAAGGAAAGAAAATACATTTATTTACCAAAAAAAAAAAAACGCACACAATAAAAGAGAGTGGTATCGCGTGAGTATCTTTGTCCAGCCATGGGGCACATTTAGGCTATTGCTTTACTTTCACTTACTACTAAATGAATTAAAACATGAACGTAATGTAGTAACGAATGAAAAAAAAAAAGACTCAAACAGGCCGAAACGACAATAATGACGACTGAAGGTCGCGAATGAATGATTGCACGAGTGAATGAAAGAGCGAACGAACGAACGAATGAATGAGGCGTTCACCTTGTGCGTGGGCTCGTGGTGGGGCGGCGGCGGCAGGGGGCGCGGGCGGCGCGCCTCGCCGTCCGAGCTGCCGTCGCTCGAATCGCTGGCGGCGGCTGGAATGGCAACGGGGCCGCTTAGCTACATAATACATACTTGTATAATACATTGCACCCGTGCGAAGCCGGAGCGGGTCGTTAGTATTAAACGAATAGAATGAAAAAGCCTTTTATTGAACCCTTCAATTTGAGGGTGAAGGCCTCCAAAGAACCAGTGGCGTTTAATTTCCGCATTAGAGATGGGGAAACTTCCTCGCGAGAGGTCATGTTACCTTTGTCCTCCTGCGCACGCGCCCGGTACCCGGTGGGCAGTTCCGGGGGCCCCACGAACATGCCCAGCTTCGGCACCCTGGGGCTCTGCACCGCCACCAGGTTGCCCAGTGACCTGCAACGGACATGTCACAATCACTCACTCGCACACCGGCCGTGACTGCTGACGTGATTAATCGAGGTTTTCTTTAATAATCTTTTTTATTTGTTTAAGCTAAGCTTAAGCTAAGTGCTATAATGGGCGGACTTAATGCCTAATGGCACTTTCTACCAGTCAACCGTTGTCGTGGTAAAAAGCAAATGGCAGTTGCTATACGAAGATTATAAAAATATTAGTAAATAAATTTGCTCTGAAGGCATTATGTAAAAATGTTTCTCGTACACGCTCGCTTGAAAAAGCTTTTTTCTGCGAGTACCCTTTTATTTCGTAATGTATATATAGCATGAAAAAACTGATGTATTTGTTTGAATTTTGTGTTAATCAAGTGGTCGATATTATACGGTTATGACCGATAATAATGAACTACATAGCTAATCTATACCACAAACAATGATAATCGATTACTTCGTCTCGCTTGCAAAGGCTAAAGAGACAATTGCGTACCTTGTTTTTGTACGGTAACAAAGTGAGCGCGCAGATAGCGATATCGAACTTTTGTGTAGTTTGAAAAATAAAATGTGAAGATATCTAAAAAAAAATGTCGAAAACGCGTTTTCTTCGAGAAATTCCGCCGGTGACTGCTTACCAACGGACGCGCTTGATCGTTTGCCTCCGATTCGGTAAAAGACCACATGACTGTGGTAGGAATACGCAGCAGCCTCGGTTTTTGCACGAATGGTCAGGCTCGTCCGTGAAAATACCACGACCTCACAGATGACCAGCGTGAAGTGGAAGTATAACACTTTCGAGTTACGTCCGCTGAGTGAGGTAGCCGGAGCCCAATTCTCAGAAAGGTTATCAACACATCTGCAAACCATCGGGTGTAGCAGATGCCCGTGGGCGGCGGTTTACATCAGGTGAACCGCCTGCTCGCTTAACAACTTTTCACCAACAAACCCTCCAACATAAAAAAGCGACGTATGGGCGCTACATATATATATATATATATATGCCTGTTATATACAGCGTGTCTTTACAATCGCGACAGTAAATGAACACACATATAGGGGATAACTTTTTAAAATTGTATTAAACATTTATATTCTTTAAACATCAATATTTACAGAGTTATAAAATTTTCCAAAACAAAGAATTTTAGAACACCTTGCGTATAAAACTGTAACGTAAAGTTCTTTTGTAAAGGTCACAAAGCATATGAATGGGTTGAATGAATTTAAAAGAGACAAAACATACTGTTAGAAGGAGAGGCTTGTAATACGACGCTGTGGCGCGAGTTGTATAGGATGTTACAAATTTTGTTTCTCTTTTTAATTAATTAGTTTATTTGAAAAATATTTCCTTATAATTATGGATTTTTATCGTTAATTTTTTTTATGATTATTGGCAAGTAGCGTTAGACGTGTACTCATTTATTGTCGCGATGGTAACGACACGCTGTATATGCCTTTTATATATATGCTTTTATATAAATGTGCCTTTTCTTGTAGTGCCGCGGCGCGTGGTGGGCGTTGTGCCGCCGCCGCGCGTGGATCCTAGCGGCGCCGCCGGACGCCTCGCTCGAGCCGGAGCTATCCGTCTCCGAGAACGCTAAAAAAGGAAATTTATCATTGATGTTGAAAAAAAAAGGAGCATGTATCGTGAGAAAATAAAAAATAACACTCCTGGCGGACGATTGATAATATAATAAGGCTATACGATTGGTAATAAAGTTGTATAGACCACGAAAATTCACAATTTTCACTTGAAACATCCGAATGGTGATTACAGGATCGGATAATTGCATTGATCATGATTCCTTGGATAGTGGAAAGTAATACGCTAAGCGTAAGTGTTTGTGTGTATGTATATATTTGAAAAGTCTGATGCCTTACATGGCTGATGCAATGGCGTCTTCTCGTGCCTCCGATGTCTCCTCAGTCTCGTCATTGATGGCGCCTCCATATACTCATTGGTTTCCTTTATCTATGATAACGTAAATCATAATTAAAAACTAACAACAATACGACAAGTTTCTATTTAATAAATTCTCATTTATACACGATAAGCAAAGAAGTATTAGTAACTTGTTAGCAACAACCCTTCCATAGCGATAACGTAAACATAATAAATAACCAAACTTATTATATTTCTAATATTCATCGTCATTCGTTATTAAATTACGTTCAGATAAACTTGTTATGGATACACGGCACACAAATGTGAGAAAGGTGTTTGCTTCATGTTCGAATGGTGTGAAACCATGCAATGTTCTCCCGAAACCGTCACCAACTGTATGGTCCCATGATTGGATGACAGACGCGTGAAAGTTAACTAAATGAATCGTTTATGTAATGTACCCATTACGTGTACATTCGCCAAAATACAGAATAAAGTTAATGGACAAGGTATACTTAATTATAGAAATCACCAAATAAGACTTGAATCACGTCATAGGTCACATTAAGTAACCATAAGTAACTTTCAGACTGAGTTTGAAAAGCAACCTAGTAGTAGGTTTTCTAAAGTTCACACACCCTTGGAGACATCCAAGTGGCAGTACGAATAACTACCAGGTTTCACGAAATTAATCTTATAATAAATATAATCTAAAAGATCTGAGATGCTACAATGAACTAAACGGAGCACCGCACAGCGCCGTGGATCATAGTTGACGGGCATGGGAAAGCCTAAGCAACACTCGATAAAATATCTGCACATATCGTATTACGTGCGAAGTCCGATACAACAACACATGATTAAAGGTACTTAATCACGTGCATAACACAGTTGTCGCAAATGCGCGTCGAATTAAATGAACAAAAAACGAACGAAACAAGGCGCCAAATCGCACCGCACATAATACAACTACGTAATGGCGAAATTCGAATCAAACACGCTAGTAACAAGTCTAGCAGCATAACGCGACCGCGTACAGTACGAACTACGGACACGCCAAATTCGAATCAAGATAGAAATATGGCGCATACAGCGACCGTACAAAACAGATACGATAAACGGATATGCAAAAGTCGCATCAAAAGCGCTACCGTGTATAGTACGAACTAGGGACACGCGAAAGTCGAATCAAACACGCTTGTAACAAGGCGAATGACGCCACCGCGAAAAATAGAAAAAACGAACGCGAGATAGTCGAATCAACCACTCTAGCAATAAGTCGCACAACGGCACGCTAAATTCGCCTCAACCGCGCTCGACGTAAGGCTCACAGCCGCGTGTACCTGCGCGTACTGCGCGTCCAGCTCGGTCTCGGAGCTGACGCCGGAGGGGTGGTGGTGGTGGGCGGCGGCGGCGGGGCCGGGCCAGCCCGAGCGCTGCGACTGGGGGAGGCTCAATCATCTCATCGGCGCTCAGTCCGGTCCGAAGGACCAGCCGAGGCGGACGTGACGCCAGGCAATCGTAAACAAATGCGTTCGACTATTTGGTCACCAAACGCATCTTTGTCGTCGTCCATTAATCATGCGATGTTTTCGTAGCACTTTTTAATTATAATCCGATTTAATTCTGCCAAATTAGGAACCGTGTTACAAACGTCCAGACAGACTTTTTTTTCTGGCGGACAGGAAAATATTTGCACACGGGTTTAGAAATAACATCATGTTCTCCCCTTGTGATATTTCGTGATTTTTGTTTAGCCCCTCCGCTTTTTCGAGCCCCACGTGATTAATGGACGATCCCTTACTAGTATTGTAAATGCGGACCCTTAAAGCGTCGACGGCTGAACGGATTCAAATGCAATTCAGAATGTCGTTTAAAAATTACGAGAATAATTGTATTAAATGATAACCGTTTAATTTATACACGGGTGAAACGTGGATACTACACAAAGTGCAGATTTTTCTTTAATAATGCATCAGTTGTTATGCGATTGCCTGAATATATATTGATATATCATGTAATGATTTGTGTTATTAGTACAATTGTTAAAAATGACGAATGAGTGCTTAACTGTTTAAGATGATACCGGCTCTAAATCTGTCAACCTATTTGAGGAATAAGAGAAATTGTAAAACATTTTTAGTCAAACCTTAAAACAAACGGAACCACAATGCTCAAAAAAAAACTTAATTCCCCAACTATGTTAACGGATTTATCACAATTTTGAAACAGAAAAGAACCCATGACCGACAATAACCATTATAATATGACGCAAAACAATACCTTCCTTTCCCTAGAATGAGGTGGGCCAATAGTAATGTGCTGAAGAGCATCGCTGACCATTGTATAGTTGTTCATGTCCAATTTTCCCGGTTGCTGTAAAAAACAACGAAACATACTTAAAATATATATAACTATATATTAAATTTAAAAATATTTATAATTTTGCGTTTTCGTCATATGATATGCCTTCAAACCCCGAGTTCACTGCTAGAGATTGCCAATAGACATTAAGTTGTATTTAAGGCGTTTACGATATAAAACTATAAACGTCCCACTGCTGAGCAAAGGCCGCCTCTGTACAGTTAAGGCAAAGTCCACCACGCGACCCCAGCACGGAATGGCGGACTTCACAATACAGGGAGGCTTTTCTAAGTGTATCTATTTTTTTTTTTATTAAATTCTAAACATCAATAATATTATATAAAAAATGATGAATATTTAAAATCACTCATCATTAATTAATTACATTCATTTGAACTTATCTCAAAAAGTAATTCATCACTACAAGACATCACGCACACGCACAAAAGTTCGTTTCAAAAGTATACGACGCATTTATGAATGACTACCGCGTTGTCAAAAAGTTCTGTTTTTTAGGGAATAGAATTGCAATTTTTTTTTTCGGAAAAAAAGTTTGTTTTTATTTCAATAAACGATTATTCTACCGAGCCTGAACCTCCTGTGTGAATTTGGGCACCTTAAGAAAAGCCACCCTTCAAATATTTTTGTTATTATTTTGAAAATGTGCAGGTTTTATCACGATGTTTAGTGAAACAGACGGACTGAGCAGTAGCTGAGCACTTGATAAGTTAGCACTTAAAATCAACAATTTCATTAGTGCCTGCACCGGGGTTTGAACTAATGTTGAATAAATGAATGAATGAATTAATGAACATACTTTATTGCACAACAAAAATTTAATAAATAGTAAACTTAATGCGCAAGTGAATGTACTGCTACTGTTGCTGGGATACATCGAAATAAAAGCAAGCATCGGGACAGTGAGCTATCACGGCTCTATACAACAAATAAATGTTATGAATGAACGGACGAACGAAATAACGAACGAACGAATTTATGAATGAACGAAAGAACGTATGAACAAATTAATATGAGGGAGCGATGGAAATATTCAATGAAAGAACGTATGAACGGATGAATGACTATGTAACGTATGAATGAATGTATGTACGGATACTAATGAATGAATGAATGAACGAACGAACGAACGAACGAATGAATGAATGATTTTCGACAAGGATTTAAGGTAAGCGCACCTTGAGAGTCTGCGAGTGGCGCGGCCGCTGGTTGGGTGGCTGAGGTCTGGCGCGGCCCGTCGTGAACGCACGGTGCCCGTACCCGCCCGGCTGCCACATCCCGCCCCCGTCTGTTAAACACGCCATACATATGACTTAATGTCCATTAACACCTTGAATATTGCATTCGACTGAGCACAGCGGCCGAATTACCAGGCGTTTTTTGTTAAAAATTCCTGAACGAATGGGTGGTTTTAAATGGCTTAAGGGCTAAATCTACAATTATTTTGGATTGAAGATGCATTGCCAACCAACTCGTTCACCAGACGAAACGCTAAATTAATATAAATACTTCCAATTTACATCGGCAATCTTTGAGGCCGTGGTTCTTCACGGACGAGTCTGTCCATTCAAGCAACAGCCAACCCGCCCTCCCACCTCCGTTGAGGTGTGGTAGAGAGGGGGAAGGCGGTCATTGCTGACGATAGGTCTAGAGATTGAACACCTCCAGTAACGTAACCCCCAGGAAAAATCGTAGCAGCACACACATTAATACTTCATGCAGAACATCTATGAGGTCGCGTCTCGCATGTGGCACTACGACAGCTGTGTTCTAGTCATCTAAACCACTGATGAGCTTCGGATGGTTAAGTTATCAAACAATTGGCTAGCAAACAATATGCAAATAAACATGAAATCAAATAATAATATAATCAAATAAACGATGGTGAGTACTGTAAGGTAACTAAAATTGAACTAATTTACAATCTCGTAATTTGAAATCCGATCACGAAAAAAATTTCTAACACCGGTTTCCTTCCATTCATCGTTACCATTTTATCTCAATTCTATTTTCTGCTCCATTATCAATAATTTAAAAATTTAATTAGCACCATTTTCGGATGACACAAAAACTAATATGTTTTCTATAGTTCTAGGTTAATTTCCTGGTTGCTTTCGCTTTAAATAAAATATTTTATTAAACATTTTCTAACGTGAATTGGTAATAACGACAATATAATAAGAACTGTGCATTTAAATAATTTTGTACCTATTAAACTTTGGAACTTTTTATTTGGAACTTGCTGTTTGAACATTTAAAAATGCGAGTATTACAGTGTCTTTAAATCTAAAATTAAATTTCATCATAATAATAGTGCTTTTATTACAAAATGCCTTAGACAAACCTTCTACACTACTTCCTTCATGCAAAAGAGAAATTAAAAATAAAAACAAACTCACGGCTACACTCAGAGACGACAATTAATACTTAACTGTTATTAAATGCGATTCCATTTCACAAATGAATTTAATGACAATTAAGCGCTTACTGGGGTCTCTAAGTGGGACCGTTAGGTAAATAAATCTCTATAGGACAATACAATACTATCTACACACAAAACTGAACCTGCCCACTAATGTAATAAGGTCTATACTCGCTTGTAGTGCAATCACCTGACTCGTGCGTGCTGAGCGAATCCTCGGAACAGTTGAGATCGGCTGCATCGTAAAGATAATTTTAATTTTTCCTCGTTCAGTTGTAAATAAATGAGAACAGTTTAAAGATGTGCAACATCTTAATAACATTTTATTAATATAGTGTAGTTTTTATAATTGTATGATTATTAATCACAAGGTAGAAGGGCTGTTGTTTGAAGTCAGAATAAAAAAATATCCAGGCATTGTAACTAAGTTATAGAAGTAAAGTAAAGTATAAACAGCCTATACATGTCCCACTGCTGGGCAAAGGCCTCCTCTATACAGAGGGTATCAGGGCATAGTCCACCACGCGGCCCCACTGCGGATTGGCGGACTTCACATATCTTCGAAATATATCTTTTTTTGTTATTATTTCGAAAATATGCAGGTTCCCTCACGATGTTTTCCTTCACCGCGGAGCACGTGATAAGTCAGCACTTAAAGTTAAAAACTTCATTGGTGCCGGCACCGGGGATCGAACTCAGGTTGTCCGAGTATATTGAATTAAAGGCGAGCGCCCGGACACTGAGCTATCACGGCTCGTTAAGTTATACATTACTATAAAGATAGCTTTAGATAAAGTAACCCCAAATTAGACAAAATAGACTAAGGAACGAAACTATTTATAATTTATTCGTTAGAATAAATTAAATGAAGGCCGTCACAATGTTAGAATAGAATAGAATATACTTTATTGCACACTGGGAAATACACAAAAGGGTACATATAGGCGGTCTTATTGCTAAGGTATCAATTTCTTCCGGACACCTTGTGAGAAGCTTGTGGTGAATGATATTAGTAATATATCTGACGTTGCTCCTTCTAATATATAAAATTCTCGTGTCACGGTGTTTGTAATTGAACTCCTCGGAAACGGCTCGACCGATTTTCGTAAAATTTTGTGTGCATATCGGCCAGGGTGGAGAATCCGACATCTTTTTCATCCCCTAAATGTTAAGGGTCCACCCCAAAAATTTTTTTCAACCCTACATATAATTTATATGGCAAAACAACGTTTACCGGGTCAGCTAGTAATTATATACATATGTTACTTACGAGATAAATCCGCGTGCATTCTATGATCGGGCGGGGCGGGCTCAGGCGGTGTACTTGGCGGTGGATAAACGCTGAAACCTGCACCAGAAATGAACCATTCAAATTCTATTTGTTTCTTGTACATGTGTGTAGGTGACGTATGCGATACGATGTGATTATGTGTCGGAAGTTTATTTCGAACACAAATAAAAACGTGTGTGTACGTTGTGTACGCACGTAAGAAGTTATACTTGTTTAGGGTAACGAAAGAAAAATAACAAAAAATTTTATCCCTTGTGGTTGTCGGTGTGCTCGCGCATAGTAAACATTTTACTCTCATAACTTTTTCCAAACGTGCCAGAAGGAATATAACTCAATAATATCTGTATACACGCATGTGTATGCAAGTATACGGATATTATTGAAGTTAGTACGTACACACGTACACGAGCGTGTTTGCACGCAAGATTATTCCTTTCAATTTTTTATTGTGCGAGTGAGATATTGGGATACATGTTGTCGTAAAACTACATTAGGGTAAATATCTTATAAAATAGCTGTAACCAGCACATGCCTTTAAGGAAACCTCTGTTCTTGGAGTTGTTCAAAGTGTCACTGTATTCAGAGTCGATGTCGGCGCGCGAGTCGGGACCGATGAGGAGGTCGAGCGAGTTTGTGAGCTTGTGTTCCATCCTGTATAAAACGTTCAATCTGATTAGCAACAAAATGACACACATGCATAGGAAGCGTACCAATAAAATGTCAAACATAAACTTGTCTCTTGAGTTAACATCGGTGATTGTGTTACGGGTTTCCTTTTTGTGGGGTGTGATAGACATAGGTATGTTCGAAAAATTAAAGACACTGCAAGAAAGATACGCGGTGGATGCAAATGTATATCTAAAAATTAACATCTAGGTAATATGTGCGAGAGATAATCGCTGTGAGTTGTGCGGTAGAGAGCTATTTATGACTCAATTTGTTCGCTTTAACGGTTTGGCATCAGTAATGTAAGAATGTGTGAGCGAGAGGACTGTAGCAGGGTTTACATAGACACTCTGCGTATAAGTGAAAAGTATTACAGTTGTGGTCAAGAGTAATAGCGTTGCAAGGTGTTGCGTTCACACTCAACTTCTCTCTCGCTCTCTTTCTGAGAGAGAGAGATTGAGTTGAACGGTGCCGAAAATTGCGCGACGTGTAAGCGAGAGCGCATGTAGGGCCGACAGACGTTGCGAGCGAGAGGGCAGAATTCGGAGGGATTGAGTGGCACGGTGCCAGTCCATTGCGGGATGTGTAAATGTGTGGGAGCGAGAGCCGCAGCCGCGGTCGACAGGCGTTGCGTGCGAGCGAGAGGGCGCTAGTCGGAGAGATTGAACGGCATGGTGCCGGACCATCGCGGCACGTGTAAATGTGTGTGAGCGAGAGCGCCACAGCTGTGGCCGACAGGCGTTGCGAGCGAGCGAGAGATCGCGCGTCGAAGAGATTTAGTGGCACGGTGCCAGAACAATGGCGGGATCTGTATGTGTAAGCGAGAGAGCCGCAGCTGGGGTCGACAGGCGTTGCGTGCGAGCGAGAGGGCGCTTACTTGTTGTTGAGGTGGTAGGAGTGGTTGCGCGGCGGCGGCGCCGGGCGGGCGGAGGCCACGTCGGGCAGGTTGTGCGGCTGCTCCATTCGGAACGCGCGCTCTATCTCGCCCTTACGCTCCCACACCTCCTTGAAGAACGGCGTGTAGAACGCCGCTGCGAGGAATACGTTCGGTTCCTTACTTGCCATATAAATATATACAAAAAAATCTATATAAAAATATATATAATCAAGATCCTTTAATGTATTGACGGAATAAAGGTTTTTTAACCGACTGTATGGTAAAGGTAACTCTATGTAAAGGTTTTTTAACCGACTGTATTTTTTTATGCAAAAAGGTGACAATGATGTTAAGTGATAACCACCGCCTATGAGGATTTACAACACCTGTTGGGTTGCAGATGCGTTGCCACCTTATAATAAATTGTGTCCCGGCTACCTCACTCAACAGACGAAACGCAGAAGCAGACATTTCAACCTCTCCGAGGTCGTGATACTTACCAGGGCGGACCTGCCCATTCGTGCAACAGTCGAAGCTCTTGCGTGGCTCCACCACTGTTAGTTATTAGGTATAAGTGAAGGTATACGACTATTATATACATAGACTAGCGACCCACCCCGGCTTCGCACGGGTGCAATGTATTATCATTACTAATATTATAAATTCATACTTATATTATAAAGATGAAAGTTTGTATGTATGGGTGGATGTATGTTACTCTTTCCCGCAAATACTACTGAATGGATTTTAATGAAACTTTACAATAATATAGCTTATACATCAGAATAAGACATAGGCTATAATTTATATACATATTTTATGTATTTCTGTCTGTCAGAATGTTACGTCTTGAGCCTATTCTACGCAGACGCAGTGGCGGGCAGCAGCTAGTAGAATATATATACCTTCCTCTTGAATCACTCTATATAGTAAAAAAAAAAACGCTTCAACATCCGTCGCGTGGTTTCAAAGATCCAAGCACACATAGGGACAGACAGGCCGCGTGACGACTGCTTTATGCTACGCAGTGACACGCACACTTGCTCTCTGCGCTGGAGGTGTAGGTGGTGAAGTGGGCGCCGAGCCTGTCCGCCGTCGCGTTGCCCTCCGTGATGAGCGCGTGGCCGAGGTCGGTGCCGAAGAAGGCGCTGGCCGCCGAGCCGCCGCCGTCCGTCACCGCCACCATTTGGATCGGCAGGTTGGGGATGTTCATCGAGAAGGCGCTGCGCAATGGATGAAGTAACGTTAAGACGCCGGCCAATCAGACGATCGTATTATATTAAACGCGGACCAATCAGACGACCGTGTTAAGTCATGTTGACAACGCCGGCCAATCAGACGATCGTATTATATAAAACGCGGACCAATCAGGCGACCGTGTTAAGTCATGTTGACAACGCCAGCCAATCAGACGATAGTATTATTTTAAACACGGACCAATCAGGCGATCGTGTTAAACCATGGTGAAACGCCGGCCAGTCGGACGATTGTGTTACGTTAAGACGTCGGCTAATCAGATGATCGTGTAAGTCATGTTTAAACTAATTATTCCAAAGCCTTTTGTCTGTTAATGTTGTGCTCAATTATAGGACTTACACAATCATCCTAAATTCGAATAATTGATATTACCTGTACATATTGCTGAAAAATGTCCATACTTGAACAGATCCAATGAAAATTAACTAAAATCTATATACAATTCAATTACTATTCATAATCCTCAATAATCAAGAAATCTCTTAAAAACAAATACTCACTTGAGTGTTGCTAAGCTTGCTTTCCTCTTAGCAGAATAGATGAGGATGAAGCCGTGAATCAACTCTTCTCTGAACTGGCTGGCACCATGAAAACTTGATATTATTACCTGTGGTCATTGGGAGAAAAATCTCTTATTTATATGTTTATTCAAAAAGTAAAATTCACGAATTTTATTTTTTAATAATGTGTAATATGATTCGAACTGGCTCCTGTCAGTTAATTTATAAAGCTCTCTAACTCATGAGCTACATTTTGTACTGTTAGCAAATTTTTTATCTTGATTAAAGACAGTGGTAGGACCACGCAACAGTGTTCGCTGTTGCACGAAGGGGCAGGCCCGTCCGGGTTAGTCCCACGACCTCACACAAGAAGTAGAAGTATTACCTTCTGCGTTTCGTCTGATGAGTGAGGTAGCCGCGGCCCACTTTATTGAATGGTGGCACCGCATCCGCAACCCTACGGGTGTTCCTAACGTCTATGGGCGGCGGTTATCGCTTAGCATCAGCTGAACGGCCAGCTCGTTAGCCACCTTTACCTCACATTAAAACATTCACCACCACAGCCGAACCCACCTCGACCTTCCTCTTGGAGTCGCCGAGGAACGTCTCGATGACGATGGAGCGGTCGCCGGTGAGGAAGCAGGCGCGGTGCAGCAGCAGCGGGCTGAGCACCCGCTCCGGCGAGTACGGGTCGTCGCAGAACATGCACACCATTATCCTGTCGGTTTTTTTATTTCAATAAGAAAAAAACAAAAATTACCTGGGGAGTGAAAAGGCTGTATGGAGAAATCCCAAGCCGTATAAAAGTAAAGACAAATTTCGTTATTCAATATAGGCTTGTCTTAAGCTCTTATTGAATATCTAAAAGCTACTACTAGTTCACAAAGTTCGACCTGTCCAAAGAAGAACCGTCAAGAAACTCTGTGGTCTTTTTATATTTTTTTTTGATGATATAAGTATATTTTTTTAATAATATAAATTTACCGTCACTAGTTCATAACTCAAACTATATCACTATATCCAGCTCAAAGGACCAACATAAAAATGTTACCAATTTATTACATACATTAACGCCCCCCATAGATGCTCCAATTAGAGCATAGCTATCATTAATTTGTTTTTTTTTTAATCTATTTAAACTTTACAGCCAAACTTAAATAAAATTGGTAACAAAGAGCGCACTAAAGCCTAAAGGCATTCTCTACCAGTCAACCCAGGATGTGGTGAGAGCTTATAGGTTGCAGGTAGGTGCAGAAAAGATGAAAAGATATAAAATTTAAAACAATGAGAATAAACATATAAATATAGTTAAAAATAACATGTGTCATAATTAAATATTAAGAATAATCTATTAAGTTTGTTAATTTCCGGTATTAAAAATGTATCGATTGTTAAGTCATAATTCTGTGGTTATAAGACTAACGTGCCATAAGAACTACGCGTAATAATTATATACATCCGAAACGTATCCTCACCGTATATCAGAGTCGAAGCAAACGATAAGATCTCTGTAGAGATGCGCATAGCTGGCCTTCTCCCTGTTGGTACGGATGAGTTCTTGTATCGCATCGGCGGTAAGAGCCTCCGTACCGAGTTCACTAACCGACGCCTCCATGTACGAACAGTGTAAGCTGTAAGAAATGACAAATATAAGGGAAAAAACTACAAAACAAACAAAAAGACATGCAGTATGGTGCATTATGGATGATTATAAACTAATAAAGGTAATTTAAAGTTTTTTTATAGTGCTAATCTCGGCACTTAAAATTAAACATTAAAACTTGTAGAAAAAGAACGAAAAGATTGTCTACGTCTTCGGCATTCGCGCATTGACGCTTTAACCTCCAAGCTAAACGGCTGATTGCCACACCGACGAAAATCTTAACGTCTTTTATCTACATTGTTGTTTAAGTAAGAACAACTGCCGGAAGAAAAAAGTTAACGATTGATATTGATATTATTAAAATTTAAAAAGTTCAAAAAACTTACTTATCAGCGAGGTTTTGTCCTTCTTCCTGCAGCCTAGCAAGCTCCTTCTTATCCATACCCTCGTCTTGCACGAACATCACCACTAATGGAAGACCCTGTCCAAACAGTCTTTATTATATACTTGAAATCAATGGAATACAGATGTGTAAAGAATCCCTACATCAACAAAATAAAACATACTTTTGTATTTATATTGGATTAATTTTTATATTTTTTTATTCAGATTTAATATTAACATAGGGTAGAGACAATGTATGACTAAAAGAATAATGTAGAAAATACAATTATTAATTATTCATGATCTTAAATCACTTAAAAAGTATTTTCAAAATAATAGGAATTTAGGAACTTACTTGAAAAGGCAACTTATCTTCTTGCTCTAAACTTGACAATAGTGTTTTTTCTGCGCAATTCCTGATAAACTCAAACGACTCCTGGTCTTGGTACACGCAGAAATATCCTGAAAGGTGAATGTAAATAAACTAAAAGCTAATAAAGTACCTATCAAAAGTTTACTCAATAGATTTTCAAAAAAACTGTTTCCGTTTAAATGCTAGCAATTTAGTATTTCAAATATTAGTTTCTTATCTGCACTAGTAAGTTTCATTCAAGTTTCTTTCAGTATACATCTCATCGCTGTACTGCTGAACTAATTCAGGCAGAAAGGAAATAATTAATGCGTGAGTGGGGCATAGCTTTCTTTTTTCATTGTCGTTTCCTGGTGGTGGTAGTAGCATTATTCGTTGTCGTTGTGTACATGTGGTGTAAGTGATGGTGGTCTTTGTCTTCATAGGCATAATTGTCGTGGTGGTGTTAGTGGTCATGGTTGTGGTCGTGATCGTGGTGGTGGTCGTGGTCGTCGTTGTGGTCATGGTCGTTGCGGTGGTTGTGGTTGTGGTGGCGGTGGTCGTGGTGGTGTTAGTGGTCGACGTGGTCGTGGTGTCGGCGTCGGCTCACCGTTGGGCGCGAAGTCGCCGTCGTCCGGGTCGTCGTCGTTGGCGCCGTGGCCGTGGTCGTGGTCGGCGTCGGCCAGGCGCAGCCGCTGGCGCACGCGCCACGGCTGCCCGCGCACGCACACGCGCCGCGCCGCGTCGCACCCGGCCAGCAGCCGCGACCCGAACTCGCCCGCCACGCCCTCCATCTGCCAGTGTCGACGTTCGCGTCATGTCACCACACGTCTTGCACAATACCACGCACGCAATCAATACATGCAAAAACGCTTTACACCTATGGATTGCACGCAAAACATGGACACCCACGAGTTTCATTTAAGTTTCAGTCTTCTATTTAGTTAAAGAAAACAAACTAAGCCTTGCAGCAAGGCTTGTAGATCGCCATTGTACATCATAACAACCTTGATGGTTGGCAGTCCACGACTGTGCGTTCTTCACGTAGCTTTCAGTCGCGCACAAACATGTAGTGGAGTCTATTGTCAACAACGGTATTTTTGGATCGATACGATTTAGGGAAGATACGATACGATCTCGATACGATTCGATAAGATCCCTATCGAGAAGCGAGCCTATCCCTCCCTCGGAGGCAGGCAACTTATTTGTGAATCTTCCGGTGTAGCGAGTGTCCATGAGCGGTGGTGAAAACTTATACATAGGACGGCCTGCCTGCTTGTTTATATCCATTCAAATAAAATAATTCAATTTCATATCGCACATAAGTCCAAATGGGTTCCGTAGGGTGGCAGTAATTCTATAAAATTTGCCCCACAAAGAGCTTAATAGACGACACACGAAGGAATGCCAACTGTCCTCCCAAATACTAACGCCAAGTATGATGACGTTGATCTGGTTCGAGTCGGTGGTGAGCGCCCAGGGCGCAGCGGGCGGTCCCGCTTGGCACTGGGACTCGCCCGCCGACGTCAGCGACCTGCGGGCAAAGTGTAACCGTACAAAAAGACGTAGAGGCGATATACAAAACGTGGATTCGCTGAAAACTTGCAACGATCAAGTTGTTGCGGGCGCAGTAGGAGCTAAAAGTTCAAAATGTACACTCACCCAACCCTCGTGTTAAGGATCACCGGAAGGGTAGCATCCAGGCAGTTGGAGGCGGCTGGACAATGCTCGCGCATGGGGCAGTGGACGAAGCCGAGATGTTGGAACAGCATCAGCTTTCTGTCCTGCTCCATACGATCGAGCATTTTATACCTGCAGCGAGGGAATAAATTTTTCATATATGTACCATATTTTATGTTTCTTTCGGTGCCGTAGTGAATGTTAAGAGCAGACTTGTTGCACACATTTATCATAATTTTTTTCTTTTGATTTTTTGCAAAGGTTTTTTTTTCGTTCAGCATATAATATGGAATACCTTTCCATATGGCAGCAAATAATCGAAATCATTCATCATTTTAAAGTTAAACTAAACCGTGCGTAATTAACTTTTCATTCGTTTAAACATAGGATATCATTAGCTATATTAAAAATACACAATCAAATGGAATTTTCATAACATAGTCCCTTGAAAGACTGTCGTTTCGTACAAAGGAATTTCTATACCCGGCATATATAAATATCAGGATGAATTACTTGGTAATGAACTAGACCATTTATTATAAGTATAATGGAATTAAATACAACATAATCGACGTTTACAGCCGCATCATGAATCCCGATATCACTCACCGGAAATCGTCTTGTAACACATCGGTAATTTCCTTGATATCCTCTTGGGTAATCGTGCCAGTGGGTGATATACTCTTGAAGTGATAGAACAGATCTGCGTGCTCCAACAGGAGCTCCTGAAAACACAGCTTCGATTATTTTTCTGTGAAATATTATGTAGAAAAAGTACGATAATTCGTTAATATCGTTTTACAACGATAATTCGAACGAGAGATGTCGCCATTGCTTTTTAGAAATTAACATTTTTGAGGGTTATCCAGTCTCAAATTTGTGCAATAAAATAGCAATGAGGAGGACCACTACACCTTTGACATAGAAGTACTATTTATTTTTTTGCATACACTGCTCTTAATGTAGTATAACATTGTACCGTGGTATTAGGATGCTTCACATACATACATTCCACGTGGACAAACGCCCATATCCGAAACAATCATCTGTTTGCCACACAAACAGCAAGCCCGTGCGGAAATCGAACCCACGGGCCGCGACACCGAAGCGGGCACCCTGGCAACTGCGCCACAGGGTCATCAACAAGTACGTATTCTCATTGAGCGGAGCGGGCTGGGCGCCCCGTTCACCTGCAGGTTGTGGCCATCAAAAAGCGTATCCCCAACCGCCCCCTTTCACCTGCAGGTTGTGCTTGGCGCGGCGCTGGATCTGACGCTGGTGCTGGTCGTAGACGCGCTGCTGCTGCTCCTCGGTGAGCGCCTCGTAGCACTCGCGGCCCATCAGCAGCACGCGCACCTCCGCCAGCTGCTTGCCGGGTGTCACGTAGCCGGTCTCCTCGAGCAGCCGCTTGAACTGCTGGCACCACCTGCGGGCGGACCGCTCGTCACGGCAATGTCACGACAGAGACACGCCAGTGACGCGCTAATGGCACGTCAGTGACACACCAGTGTAGACTGACTACCCGTCACGACAATACCGCGACAGAGACACGCTAATGGCACGTCAGTGACACACCAGTGTAGACTGACTACCCGTCACGACAATACCGCGACAGAGACACGCTAATGGCACGTCAGTACCACACCAGTGTAGACTGACTACCCGTCACTACAATACCGCGACAGAGACACGCTAATGGCACGTCAGTGACACACCAGTGTAGACTGACTACCCGTCAAGACAATACCGCGACAGAGACGCTAATGGCACGTCAGTGACACACCAGTGTAGACTGACTACCCGTCACGACAATACCGCGACAGAGACACGCTAATGGCACGTCAGTGACACACCAGTGTAGACTGACTTCCCGTCACGACAATACCGCGACAGAGACACGCTAATGGCACGTCAGTGACACACCAGTGTAGACTGACTACCCGTCACGACAATACCGCGACAGAGACACGCTAATGGCACGTCAGTGACACACCAGTGTAGACTGACTACCCGTCACGACAATACCGCGACAGAGACACGCTAATGGCACGTCAGTGACACACCAGTGTAGACTGACTACCCGTCACGACAATACCGCGACAGAGACACGCTAATGGCACGTCAGTGACACACCAGTGTAGACTGACTACCTGTCAAGACAATACCGCGACAGAGACACGCTAATGGCACGTCAGTGACACACCAGTGTAGACTGACTACCCGTCAAGACAATACCGCGACAGAGACACGCTAATGGCACGTCAGTGACACACCAGTGTAGACTGACTACCCGTCAAGACAATACCGCGACAGATATATTTCTAGCGCTTTCATATAGTATAGGTATAGAAAACATGAACACGTTTTTCTATAAAACTCCTAGAGAGATACTCAACTCGCTAACTAAGGTCTCCTAGTCTCGGAGATGTTATGGCTATAAAGTTACAGAGTTCAAGATGCAACAATAACACAATCCGTGGTTTCAAAAAATGAGTCGAACAGCACTATTCAGTCGTAATAAATACGTGTACATCATTTTTTTGGCTTATGATCTGAATTAACGGAAACTTACTCATAATTCCTTTGCTCCTCTTGCGCCTCGTGCAGGAATGTTTTGAACACGGCAGCCGCTTCGTTCGTCTCCAATATCTCGTAGGGTATCTTCTGCGATTGTCCCAAAGTCTGAACAGCAAAACAAAAATATTTCAGGAAAGGTTGCGATTGCGATTTTCATTGAACAACGCATTACCATTTTGAAGTACATAAAATGTTTGTTCAAACGAAAATTAGACTTTGTTCGCGACTGTACATCAATGAGTATTGGGGAAGAAGACGAAGGAACAATACGGAGAATATTACTGACTCGATCTTGACTCTTGGAGAACTTACGAAAAGAGAAATTCAAATTTTGAAATATTTTTTTTTCTTTTTTTACATTTCCCTCCCTTTAGGATAACATTATTTCACGAGGACAAACACCCAGATACGAAACAACTATCTGTGGGCCGCACAAATAGTTGTCCCGTGTGGGAATCTAACCCACGACCCCCGACGCCAAGGCCAATACCTTGGCGACAGCGCCACGGAGTCATCAATTAGTGTATACGTGTGTTCGTCGACTGTTCCAGAAATCGCTGTCCGAGGAATGAGAGGACCTCGGCGTGGACTCGCCGTGAGTCCGTGAGTCATCAAATATATAGTATAGATGTCGTATCGATGTGCGCCGCTATCACCTGGTAGCGCGGTAGTATTTCAAACACAATAGATTTGCACTCTGATATTAAGAGTGTGTGCAGTCAACGCGAGGGGTGTGTGTGTGTGTGTGTGTGTGTGTGTGTGTGTGTGTGTGTGTGTGTGTGTGTGTGCGTGCGTGCGTGCGTGCGTGCGTGCGTGCGTGCGTGCGTGCGTGCGTGCGTGCGTGCGTGCGTGCGTGCGTGCGTGCGTGCGTGCGTGCGTGCGTGCGTGCGTGCGTGCGTGCGTGCGTGCGTGCGTGCGTGCGTGCGTGCGTGCGTGCGTGCGTGCGTGCGTGCGTGCGTGCGTGCGTGCGTGCGTGCGTGTGTGTGTGTGCGATGGGATCACCTGGTAGCGCGCCCGCTCGCCGAGCCTCAGCGTGGTGTCGGTGTTGAGCGGGCTGTCCAGCTCGGAGCCGGAGCCGGAGGGCGAGCCGCGGCCCCTGCCCTCGCTGAAGTACACCGAAAAGTCGCGGTGCGAGCGCAGCTGCCGCACCACCACCGCCCAGTCGCTGACAACGAACCACCACTTGATACCCACCACTTGGGCCAATGCCGAACAAAGACCACAGACTGCCTGACTGACCTAATTTACCGATAATAGTGAGTACGATTCTTTTCCTTTTCAATTAAATTTATTTCACCATAGCATTATATTTGAATTATTGACTGATTTTGTTTAGTTTCACTGTGATATGTATTATTATAATTTTTTATTTCTTTTATTTTTTGTTATTTTTTTTGTCGTGTGCGTCCTTTTTTGTTAAATAAATTTAATTCATTTATTTACTTCCTTCAAACACAATCCTGTGCCTCCTGCATCCATCACTTTTGTACCGGTTGTCAATATGTCAATCTGACACCGTAATAGCCTATACGAGGCGGCCACTTGAGAAGCTTTGTTTCCTAACGGTTATAGGTACTACGAGATCTTAGGCCGGCCCATTGCCAATAAAGCAACAAGTCCATTTTTATTAACGAAAAACAAAACCGACTTCAAATATCTCGCTCTGTGTTCATTTTATAATTGATTTTCAGGATTTCCCTATTCCTATTTCTGGAGAATATGGGAGCATCAGCTTTCAAATAAAAAAAGAATCATAAAGTATGTTCACTTAATCGAACGTTTTGAGGAAACAAACATAAAAAAAAAATTACAGTCGAATTGAGAACTTGCTCTTTTTTTAAGTCGGACGAAAACTCAGTTATCGTTTCAATTTCTAACTCTATGATCTCTATAATGCATGAATCGATCGATTTCGAAATATCTACATTCTGAATGTCTACACATATGAATCAACATGTACATCTCGATAATATATGAGGCTTACTTCTCCTGCAGATCCTCGGTGGGTAGGTTCATGCGGGAGAGCGCTTGGGGCAGCTTTGCCAGTTGTTTCCGCAACTTCTTGGCCGATCGCTCCTCTTTCAAACGGCGAATGTGACGACGGTACACGACCTGCAGTACAAAAGGACATTACAGTATCAGGAAAAGAATTCAGAACAGCTCATCCAATTTTGTATATTGGAGTAGACGACTGCTCTACCACAGTTTTCACAGAAAAAAATCACTTGAGCATGGTTTAATTATATCGTATATTGGGGTATACGATGGCATTACCACAATTTTCACCGTGGTTATAGAATCGGGGTTGCAACTTTGCTGTTGACAGGAATGTGCAGGCTTGTCCCGGGAAGCATTGCGGCCTCGCAGAAGATCGTATTGGAAGTATTACACTTTGCGTTTCAACGGGTAAGTGAGATAACCGGTGCCCACATTCTCAAAAGGTGGTTGCAGATGTCCATGGGAAGTTATCACTTAACATCAGGGGTATCGGCAGCTCGCTTTCCATCTACTCACAAAAAAGACAAGGATGGCTTTACACCGAGACGAAATCCGAAACGGCCTGTTCCACGAAACAGCTGGGAATCGATTCTAGTGCCTCAAGATCAACAGTCCGATGTCCCTACCACTGGGTCATAGCTGAGCAATTATATACGAAGCGAAAAACAAGAACACTGATGACAAATTTAGATTGTTACGGGTCTTAGAAAAAACTAATGAAATTTTCATTGAACGTACTAAACTATATTTATTTACACACTGTCACTATCCTGTGTTGTAAAAACATAAATTTCACGTGGACAACCAGATCCGGACCCAGATGCGAAATTCTGTGGATCACACGAACAATTGTTGCGTGTCGCAATAGAACCAACAACCCCCGAAGCCGAAGCCAATACTTTGGCAACTGCGCCAGAGTCATCGTCTGTTATTTAACAGATTAGAATAATAATAACAGATTAGAAAAAAGCATCGAGTCACCTGTGTTCCATCGTTGCCAAATTGCTGGACGAATTTGATCCATTCGGGGAAGTGACTAAGCCTCTTGCTAGCGGCAGACCACATTTCCCTGGTAAAATAAAACATATATTTCTGGACAGCTGAAACCAAAAGTCATAAGAAAAAAATTCATAACAAGCAGGCAGATTGACCTTGCACCGACTTCAGATATACTATTCATAAAGCTTATTTAATTCCAAACGTATGCCTTAAAAACGTCAATCAGAGCTTTTTAAACGAGAGAAATTTCAAAAACGATAACTTAATCACTGCACGCATATATAATTGTAACCCAAGACCTCGGCAATAACCCACGTAATTAGCGTATTAACAACCGTACTTATAAACTATATACGGGCAAAGGCCTCTTCTGTACACTGGGTATTGATGATTTATTAACATGCTGCATGAATTAATTGAACCGTACTATAGTAAGATAATGAAATGTGCTCACTTATGATCCTGGACGTGTATGCGGATTAGCTGGGTAAAAGCCTCTGTCACGAAGTCCAGTGTCTCCCTCCTTATTCTCAAGGCTTCCGCGTAGTTCGCCACCTGTACGGAAGTTTACAATTTTATTAGTCTCTAGTTATATGTCCCACTGCATCCATCGACTACACATCTAGTGTGGGGTCGTCCTACACTGCGATTACCAGAACGATGCTGCCACTCGAGAACCTTTCTTCCCCATCGGTTATCGGTTCTACGAGCTATATGGCCGGCCCATCGCCACTTCAGCTTGCTAATCATTTGAGCTATGTCGATTAGTTTTGTACATATCTTCGAAATAATTTTTTGTTATTTATCACACACACGATGTTTTTCTTTACCGTTACCGTGATAAATGCTTCGAGTTTCCTCATTGTGAAACGGTGTTTGATTTAAAATTACCATTGATAGATGAAATGTGTATTTTTATTTCAATGAATAAATTATTTGATTTTAGTAGTAGAAATAAGTAAAACTAGTCATTAGTTTAACAAATTCATACTCATCATTTGTTACATACTATTTAGTACTTCAACCAGTCTAAACCGGATTTAAGCTTGGTCGATTAACCGGGTATGGAAGTGCAGTTTGCTCTCACCTTTATCCTCGCCTTGGCCTTGTCGACCATCTGGGCGAGCAGGAAGAAGGCCTGGTCCACGTTGACGTTGTCGTGGCTGGAGGTCTCCACGATGGGCACGCTGCCCTTGAACTCCTTCCTGGTCACGAGCCGCTCCGCCTCGCGCACGCCCTGCTCGCACGCCTCGTCGTTCTTCGACGTCACCAGCACCACCGGCTTCTTCAGCTTCAGTATGTTCTGCAGGATAGCGGCCGTTATCTCGTTCTGGAAAGGATCACAAATAAAAATCCAAATTATATTTACTCAAATAGACGCTTGCGCGTTCCTAAGAAACGTCGAATTTTACATAAAAAAATTGATACACAAGTTCGTTCTGTCATCAGTCTGTCCCGTGACCATGAACGCTGGTGAAGGTTCGAGACGTTAACATTATTTTTTTTAAACATTGCTCTTACTTTAGGATAACATTATCCTGTGTTATAAGGACGTCTTAGAAACATAAATTTCACGACCTCCGACGCCGAAGCAAATTCCTAGGCAACTGCGCCAAGGAGTCATCGTCAATGTAAATCGAGCTTAAGCGTCTGCTCCCATCAATGTAAATCGGGCTTAAGCGTCTGCTCCCATCAATATAAATCGAGCTTAAGCGTCTGCTCCCATCAATGTAAATCGAGCTTAAGCGTTTGCTCCCGACTATGCCCACCTGCTTCTCCCATGTCCTCCCCGGCACGAGGCTCACGTCGTAGACGCACAGGAACCCGTCGACGGTCAGCTTGCCGTCGGCCATCAGCCGCTGCTCGTACTCCTTCTCGATGCCCAGCTGGTTCTTGCACACGTACATCAGCTTCTCCGCCGACTGGATCTTGGTGGCGACGCAGCGCTTCACGTACGGCTCCGTCTTGCCGACTGTAACACGGCGTAGACTTAAATACATTTTAAATATTTTAGGACACATTTTTTTTACACAACGTTCTCCAGTCCCAAACTAAGCAACGTTTGTACTATGGGTACTAGATAACTGATGAACATACCCAAACATACTTTTCTTTTATAAATAAATACATATTATACATATACATATAAACACCCAGACACTAGAAAAAAACTATGTTCATCACACAATATTTTTCCAGTACTGGGGATCGAACCCACACCCTCTGACGCAGGAGGCAGGTCAGGACACTACCCACTACGCCATTCGGGTCGTCTATATTTTGCTTTTAGTGTTCCGTACCCAAAGGGTAAAATGGAACCTTAATACTCCGCTGTCTGTCTGTCCGTCCGTCACAAGGCTGTATCTCATGAACCGTGATAGTTAAACAGTTAATAAAATGTATCTGTGTATCTAACAGATGATGTATTTTTTTTTATGTGAGAAAGTGGCAAACGAGGTAACACCCGTAGGGTTGCAGATGCGTTGCCACCTCTTAATAATGTGGGCCCCGGCTACTTCACTCACCAGACGAAACGCAGAAGTGCAACACTTCTACTTTACGTCGTTCTTCTGTGAGGTCGTGGTACTAACCCGGACGGACCTGCCGATTCGTGCAACAGCGAACACTGTTGCGTGGCCTTACCACCGTAACTGTAACCGTACTGTTGCCGCTATAAGCACAAATTCTAAAACATAGAATAAAAGAATATTTAAATGGGGCTCCCATACAGCAGACATGATTTTTTTGCCGGTTTTATAGAAATCCATTGTGCGCGAATCCGACACGCTCTTGGCAGATTTTTTTATGTAAGAACGTTGATAAAGACGTGCTGGCGATTCAACTGATGTTAAATGATTGACATTTGCAACACCCGTAGGCTTGCAGATGCGTTGCCACCTACAGTAAATCTCCGGCTACCTCAGTCACCGGACGAAACGCAGAAATATGCACACTTGCACTTCACATCGGTTTTCTGTTATGTCGTGGTACTTACCCGGACGGACCTGCCCATTCGAGCAACAGTTAAATTTCATTCGACACGCAGACTGACTCTCACAAAAAAAAGCGAAAACGAAGCGTGGTCGGGTTCACCTAGTGGCTACAAATCGAAAAAAGTAGCTATAAATCGGCTCACCTTTGAAGGGCTGGAAGCAGGCGTCGTCGACGAATTCCGTCTGCTCTATCACCTCGAAGCGGTACTCCTGTTCATCGTTCTCCTTCTGCACGCCGCCCCAATAAAGGAAATGGTCGTTGTTCACCACCCGACCGCTGAAGTCGGACTGAAAATAAAAATTAGGTAAAAGTAAAGTAACAGCCACGGAGTACCACAGAGGGTATCAGGGACGCCACTGCGGATTGGCGGACTTCACGAAATATCTTCGAAATATTTTTGTTGTTTTTATTTCAAAGATCAGGTTTCCTCACGACGATTCCCTTCACCGCTGAGCACGTGATAAGTTGGCACTTAAAATTAACAATTTGATTGGTGTGGGCACCGGGGATCGAACTCGGGTTGCTAGAGTAAATTAAATTAAAGCCGAGCGCCCGGACACTGAGCTATCACGGCTCTGTCTGTGTAACTGAAATGACGAAAAACTATATTAAAAAAAGTCGCGTGACAGAAATGAAACTAAACAAACCACAATCTAAGATATATATCACACAACTCGTGTTACGACAGCTGTTAATGTACAGCGTTGACGCATATACTCACAACTTAGCTTTGTATCGAATGTGCACGTCGCCCTATGTCTATCATTATGTATATATAATTCTTTTGTGCGTGTGTATGTCACTGAACTCGTCCTAAACGGCTGGATTTCAATTAAATTTTGTTTGTGTCTTCAGGTCGATTCGAGAATGGTTTAGATTCACAATTCGGTCCATATATTTTTTTTTTATTTATAAGTTGTTTTTGGATTTCAGTCGTGTTTACAGGACAGTGTCTGTCGGGTACGCTAGTAGGTTATATTTTTCATGTCACTAATGTAACGAATGTGCCTAACCGTGACACGTCCTTACTGTTAATTCTCATCAATGGATGGATGACGAATGGTTTTAAAAATAATAAACGAGCTTAACGGTTGACCCGTATGTCGGCTAAGAGCAATAAGTTTTATGAGAACTGTTGATATTGACCATTTAATTATCTGTATATAGTCGGGTCACAATTTCTGTCACATAATGGAATCTGTTGTTTTGAATGCCGACCACAAAAACATTTATAGAATTCGAATTTGAAAAATCTGAACCGTTTCAATTATGAGAATTTTAAATATGGAGTGGACGCCTTTGTTGAACAGCTGGCTTGTCCAGTTAGGTGATATTCCATCGTCACTCGTAAATTCGCTGGGAGCCTCATATTCGGGCTTAGCTGAGGTATGTTTTATGAGAAAGGCATAAAAACGAATGCTGCCCTGTGTCAAAATACACAAACCTTACGGAACCTCTTTCTCATATCATGTTCAATAACAGTGGGTATTCCGGCACGATTCTGTGATATACAGCACGGAGCACGCAAACTGGCCCACAGCCAGTCCAGACTTAAATCCGTTGGATTATAAAATATGGCAACATTTGGAGGAAAAGGCCTACCCAAAGCTTCATCCTGCTTTGGAGTCCAGGCAGATCAAAGCAGCCGTCAATATTGATATGTGCCTTGTTCGCGCTGCTATACGGCCGGTTTCAACATTCTATCTAAGTATCTGCATTGGTTTATGGAGATAGGATTTTGACGTAAGTATTATACTTATCTTTACATATATATAATTCTACTGTATGTGTGTACGTCACTGAACTCCTCCTTAACGGCTGGGACGATTTTAATGAAATTTTTTGTGTGTCTTCAGGTCGATTCGAGAATGGTTTAGACTCACAATCCGTTTTATTTTTTGTTTTGTTTTTTAATTTATAAGTTGTTGTCGGATTTAAGTCGCGTGTACAGGACAACGTCTGTTGGGACCGCTAGTTAATTTTAAATTACGTAAGTATTATCTACTATCTATATATATATATATATATATATATACATATATAATCGTGGGGATAATTTTGAATAAGCTTAATCGCGTCGGGGCCGTGGTGACACGTTGGAAATACCGAGGTTTAGACTAGCTAAAACCAGGAAATCGTTTCTTGGTAGATGTATTAACTTATATAATAGAATAGGTGACATCCACAAACAATTAAGTTTAAATAATTTCAAACATTTTGTAAAAGCCACCTTAATGGAAAGGGCCTATTATAACGTCGAGGAATACATTGAGGACAAGGATGTGTGGAAATGACTCTTGCTCTGCACTTGCAAGTCCCCTGGCTCCTGCTAAATTATACTAAAATAATTTTGTGTGTATACTTAAATACTTAAAAAAAATAGAAATAAAATATAAATATATGACCGCAGAGTTTCTTGCCGGTTCTTCTCTTGCAGGTCTAGTTTAGTGAACCGGTGGTAGTTTTTGACGTTCAATAAGAGCTTAAAATAAGCCTATGTTGAATAAAGAAATTTTGACTTTAACTTTGACTTTGAAATATCACAAAAAAAAATAACAGAACTTAAGACACGACTAGGTATAACTGGAATTCTCGCTGGGTAATATTTAGAAATGCCTTTAAAATACCAATTAATAGCTTGAACAATAGCTTAACATTTGAGATTTTGTTGAATTAGAGCCCTATAAAATAGGTCATGTGCCCTACACATTCATAGAAGTTTATAACTTTAAGAAAATTACAATAATGAGTTTCACAAAAATAAAATGGCTTTAAATGATTAAACAGTTCCAATAAATAAAAAAACAGTGCCAATAAAGTAGACAATTGGCAAAGACAACCTTCCCTATCACTATTTTGAAATTAATAAGACAGGTGTTATGCGAGTATTAATGCCACTTTCTACACCAACAAGCCTTACTCGTGTTTAATCATATTATATTGTAGCTTTTGCACTTTTTCTGATCCAATATCGAGGAACGACATTGCTTTGCAAATAACAGTTTTCAATATTAAAAGGCCCACAATACATTAACTACATCCGTATATGAAGTTATTTGACATATCAGACTTATTAGGTCAGAGCGATCGGTTTTAAGTTTGTGTGATACTATTAACTCCTTAGAGTCGAATGTAATCGATCTGAGCAAAAGATTACAAAATTTTATAAGCATTAGAACATATCATCGAATTACTAACCAACTTAATGACAGATAAAGTTTTTCAACAGACTATATATATAATATTCACACGCTTTGTATTTAGATGACCGTAATCTTCCGGAACTTCATGGAAATAAAAATGAATCGATAATACAACGGGAGGAATAATTAGATTTATTTCTACCATTCCAACTCGAGTCCGGTGGTCAAGGGCCCTCAAGAATGAGGCTGTAACGCTTTCTAAAGCGCTGACTTGAGCACAATCAACGCCGGCAACTTATTGGATCGCCTTTATTTACTTTTATGCCACGTCAATTTTTCTAACGTAAACTTGGCTCCGTTGCTCCGTGGCTCCGTTGAAATATTTTTCAATGAGAATATTATGAATACTGTTGGGAATGGGAAAACGGGATTAATTATTACTTATATGAAGCTACGAAGAATGTGTGAGAGCTCCACCTTTTTTGTGGGTTTGTTGAAAACGGAACAATCGAGAGACATTAGTTCTCATATCTATACAAATAAATAAAATTGAAGTGTCTGTTTGTAATATTAAAATAACCGCTTTTTACTAAATGCATGTGGATGTATACACGGTACATATACCAAAATAACATTTTTTGTCTGTCTGTCTGTCTGTTTGTTCCGGCTAATCTATGAAACGGCTGGACCGATTTGGACGGGACTTTCACTGACAGATAGCTGATGTAATAAGGAGTAACTTAGGATACTTTTATTATAGATTGTTTTTATTTTAAATTCCACGCGGCCGAAGTCGCGGGCACAGCTAGTTCAATCTTTATGCAGTGTACACAAAGGAAGTCGCGAATATAAGCCGATTTACAATATATTTATAGTTCAATATATTCGGGAGGTATATGTTTGCAGTTTATAGTTTAAATAGTATTCATACGTATGAGTATGAGGTCGGCACTTGTTCATCATGTTGTAAGCGGTTTTGGCTATGTTTTTGGCCCCCTGCCTTTCAACCATCCTTGGAGAATATTACACAGAGCTGGAACTGTTCTGTTGGTAACAAAAATACTTGTTCCGTGTGGGAATCGAACCCATTGCCCCCGACGCCGAAGCCAACATCTTAGCAACGGCGCCACCGAGTGATCATAGAAATAAATATAATAGACTTTAATTCGCTCGGGTGTTACAGAATACTTTATAAACGCGTTTGCAAGTGTGTGTACGTTATTTGCACATCAGAAACAAATCTATTCATCATCATCATCGGCCCAGGTCAAACTTATCGATCTCGATGACCCGAATGGCGTAGTGGGTAGTGTGCCTGTCTCCTGGGTCAGAGGGTGTGGGTTCGATCCCCACTACTGGAAAAATATTGTGTGATTAACAGTGTTTTTCTAGTGACTGGGTGTTTATATGTGTATGTAATTATTTACAAAATAAAAGTATTTTTAAGTATAATTATCAATTATGTAGTACCCATAGTACGAGAATTGCTTAGTTTGGGCCTGGAGAACGTTGTGTAACAAAATGTGCAAATGTGCGGGAAGTCGATGGATGCAGATGGCTCGGGATTGTGCTTCGTGACAGTTTGTGGGGGAGGCCTATGTTCAGCAGTGAACTCAAACAGCCTGAAATGATGGTATATATTTATATACGTCATGTCCGTATCCGAATTGAATCGCGCTCACCTGGCTCAGAACGGAGATGTGGTCCACGTTGTAATCGTCGGCGTTGGTGCGGACGAAGCGATTGCACAGGCACGACTTGCCCACGCCCAGCTGGCCCTTCTCCTTTTCGGTGCCTGTTGGAATGTAAATGCGGCTTAGAAGATTCTAATCCTTACTAGTATTATAAACGCGAAAGTTTGGATGTATGGATGGATGTTTGTTACTCTTTCACGCAAAAACAACTGAATATATTTTAACGCAATTTTACAATAATATCGTTTATACATCATTATACCACATAGGCTATAATTTATAAAGTTATTGTGTGAATTGTCCTAGCCATCTGCGAGATATTCTGGTGTATAATAAAAAACTCTTTGTTAAATCCAATTGGCCGCGCGGGCGAAACCGCGGTTGACATCTATTATGTTATATATTTTCATAAAGATATATGAACGTCAATTTATGTAGCACTAGCGACCCGCCCCGGCTTCGACACGGGTGCAATGTATTATAAAACCTTCCTCTTCCTATCTAGTAAAAAAAACCGCATCAAGTACCGTTGCGTAGTTTTAAAGATCTAAGCATACATAGGGACAGACAGACAGCGGGGCGACTTGTTTTATACTATGTTACAGCGTGTCGTTACCATCGCGACAATAACTGAACACAAATATAGGGGATAATTTTTTAAAGTTGTATTGAACATTTAAATTCTTTAAACATCAATATTTACACAGTTATTAAATTTTCCAAAACAAAGAATTTTAGAACAACCTTACCTATAAAAGCGTAACGTAAAGTTCATTTGTAAAGGTCACAAAGCATATGAATGGGTTGAATGAATTTAAAAGAGATAAAACATACTATTAGAAGGAGAGGCTTGTAATACGACGCTGTGGTGCGAGTTGTATAGGATGTTACAAATTTTGTTTCTTTTTTACTTGTTTGTTTGAAAAATATATTTTTTTATTATGGATTTTGTTTAACGTTAATATTTTTTTATGATTATTGGCAAGTAGCGTTAGAGGTGTGTTCATTTATTGTCGCGATGGTAACGACACGCTGTATTTTATGTGGTGAGGTCAAAACGTACGCGGAATGAAGGGGCTGGTGGGGGTACTAGTTATTACCAAATTTTATACTAATCGAGTCATTGACCTTTGAGTTATCGACCAGTGAAGAAGGCAATCGGGAACTATGCAGATTGAATACCGCGCCAGCATTATGTTCCTTACCAAGCAAGAAAAACCACCTCAAACCATTATCCAAAAGGTGTTGGCAGATTACGGGAGCTCTGCTCCTTGTAAAACCATGGCGTACAAGTGACACAGCCTTTTCAAGCAAGGCAGGGACTCCATTGAAGATGACCATCGTTCCGGCCAATTGAGGCCATCAATCATCATCGAGAAAGTAGAAAAATTGTATTTGAAGACGCCCGACGGAGCAGCATTGGTTGGACTAACTGAGGCGACCGTTTGAACCATTCTACATGATCATCTTGGGATGTCTTGCACTAAGCAATGCTAGGCTGCATCTCATGAACCGTGATTGTTAGACAGTTGAAATTTTCGCAAATGATGTATTTTTGTTGCCGCTATAACAACAAATACTAAAAAAAAACAGAATAAAAAATATTTAAGTGGGCCTTCAATACAACGGACATACAGACATAATTTTTTTTGCCGTTTTTATAGATAATTGTACGGAAACCTTCGTGCGCGAGTCCGACTCGCACTTGGGCGGTTATTTTTTATGTCTGTTACTCAGACCATCGACATTTATTAGCTGATTTTGAAAATTGTTTTTGCATTGAGTTCAGTTTGGCTCCCTTGGTATTGGGCCTTAAACTCCAAAGATACATCAGGGAAATCCTGAGATATTTGAAGTCGGTTTTGTTTTTTTGTTAACAAAAATATAATATATTATTGTATAAAATCAAGACACTTATATGTCAAGTCAAAAATTCAATTATAAACCAATATCGCGCCTATCAACCAGGGGATTGGCAGAGGTCACAAATTTGAACTTCCCACAATGCATAAACCTACTTCGTCTTCAATAAGGGTTCTTCACAGCATTTCAGATTAATCAAAGTGCACTTATCATGGAGCACTAATAACACCCTGAGATTGCAATCAAGCAAGTAAGCTTTAATAAGCTTATCTCTTTGGTGTTAAATTTCTGAGACATCAAATTTTGGAGTTATATCTGTTGTTATTATAATGATGATAAGGCATGCATAAAACAGAATACATCTGCAAGATGATTTACATTTTTTATTGATGAATTCCATTTTTATTAATTTTTTACAATTTAATAAACTAGTTCTTGTTAACTAAATACATCAGAAACAATATATTCAAATCTTTCTTGTAGATTACATTATTATAATATAATTGAATTAAATTTGATCATATTATTGTATGTATGATGACTCGAGGTCACAAATCACAGTTCTATTTACAATGCATGCTCAAATGAAATTTTTATTATTTGCATTTTTTCATTAACTATCACATATTTTTCTCAATGTATGACGAAATGTTCATACTGTCTATCGGGATATAAATTGCTCAGGGTAACATGGTTAGCAATGTCTGTCTCACTGATGCAATTAATCTCAATGCAATTAGGTTGCAAAATGTCTTTATCAATTTTAATAATAGATAATATATTCTGAATTATAATACTATTAATCCTCACACAAGCAGAGTTCACATTTATTATGTTGCATAAAAGGAAACACTTCGCAAGTCACAAGTGTGATAGTTCAAGAGTCTATTTTGAGCAACCACACTTATCTTACACAATAAACAATTTAAAGGAAACCTACACAGTGCCACAGGAAGTGGAAGAATAGATAATAAACACTGATATAGAATGAGTTGTTACCAATTGGGGCACTACTTGGTATTGAATTGATCATTTGGAATATTGGTACACATAAAAATGTAAACAAAAATCATAGAATTTAAATTGTCTTTATTTTTATAGTGTTATTTTTTGCCTTTAAGATGAATATTTATAATTTGTAGTAAATGGGTGAAAAGTTTTCCGGTAAATGAAGTAAATTGCTTATATTTACACCAATGAAAATCTCAAATCTTTATGTTAAATGAAATAGAAACAAAGTACCTATATAAATATGTTAATACATGTAGGGAGGTTCACAAGTTAATAAGCAATATGTTCTTAATATCAAATTTATGATATACTACTGAAGAAGTGTGAGGTGCAATTAAAGAAACATCTGAACTGATCAGGTGAACTTTGTGCCATGACAATTATTTTAGAATTCAATTAAATAATTAATGTTGTATGCAGTTTGATTAACAATGCCAGTTGTAACACAAAAGCTGTCAACATGCCATATCACTTGATTTTCATAATTTGATTCATTTAAAAACAATTACAAGCGTTTTAGGAGAAATATCACCAGCTTGAAATGTATGTATATTTTCCCCATTGTAAACAATTGACAGTAATTTATAACAATGTGACCAACTGTTTGGCATACCAGGAGTGTGTTGGAATATAGTGATTAAGCCAATTGAGATCTAGCAAACAGAAATTGCAATTGGAATTTTTGCATCATACTTTCGTATTTTTATGTCCGTATTATGTTTATTTGATCAGTTAACATGATTTATTTGATCAGTTATTATGATTATTGTTTTTTAGCAATTACAATATGCAGTTATCACAATTTTCGGAGGTTTAATGTAAAAACAGCTTAAGAGGGTGTTTAAGTATTAACTTTTTAAAAAAAAAAGTAAAGTGACAGCCTATGCATGTCCCACTGCTGGGCAAAGGCCTTCTCTATACAGAGGGTATCAGTGTATAATCCACCAAGCGGCCCACTGCGGATTGGCAGACTTCATATATCTTCGAAATATATTTTTTTTTGTAATTTTTTCGAAAATATGCAGGTTTCCTCACAATGTTTTCCTTCACCGCGGAGTATGTGATAAGTCAGCACTTAAAGTTAAAAACTTCATTAGTGCCGGCACCAGGGATCGAACTCAGGTTGCTCGAGTATATTGAATTTAAGGCGAGGGCCCGGACACTGAGATATCATGGCTCTATTAATATTAACTTTATAAATTAGTAAATAGTAAAACGGGTAATTCAGAATTAAAAATTATATAAACAATTATTTTGGAGGTGCTTCAAATAGAATGGGGTAATGCTTTTTTTTACTATACATATGTATAATAATGTATGTTTACAATACATTAAGTATATATTCTATTACTTTTAATATTCTATAAGCAATGGCAAGTGGCAGTGAGAGACAAGCAGTTGGATTGCCAAACTGGAAACCTTAGATATTGAGTTGAAAATTTCATTTATACCTTTTATAAGGCATGTGAAGCTTGTTTGGGACTTGGTTAGGTATATCTGTTTGTAAAATATTTTACCTACTGTAGGGTACCATTATCATTGCAAGAATAATGTAATAGCAAGGGAATAGTCTGCCTAGAAAATATTGATATTTTTCACATATTGGAAATATACCTTTTTAACTAGTATGTTCACATAAATCTTTATAATGATGGCTCATGATTTGATTTTTCATGAGATATAGACTTATGATTTTTTTTGTTCTCTAAAAATATCAATAAAAATGTAAAAAGGTATACTGCGAGTTCAATAGAAAGGAAAATAACTATCATAACACACTTACCAGATAGTCCAACAACCGACACCGTAACGAGCTTTCCGCCGATATTCTCCGATTTTTTGGCCATTGTCACAAATTATCACTCAACTGGGATGTAACTAGATAAAAGAACGATATCACTTACTAATAACATCACAACACGAATCTCTGTACATAAGAATTAAGACGACACGGTCTCTATAATTTCGATTAATATCAATTACGAAGAGAACTTTAGTTTGTAGGTACTGTTAAGAAATATACATTTCTGAATTTATCAGTTTAAGTGTCGCAAGTAACGGATATAATACTTAAAACTAGTACAGAAAAGGAAATCGAGCATTTCTTCGTAATTAGCAAAAATGAAAGGGGAAAGAGCATTCACACGGATCGCCAGATGTGCCGACATTCAATAAACGCCCAGTTTTGTTAAAGAGTTATTATACTTTAATTGAAACATCGACGTCAATTATATGAATAAATCGACAATAATATTTTAATACATTATCAAATGGTAAACGTAATCAGTTTAATTTATTGTGTTCACATATATACAGCCCTACACTTGACACACCAATTTATATACTTTAGCAAACCTCAAACACTGTGATAAATTTTGCAAAATATCAAATTTAAAGTGTGACATACATAGCAAATGGTCCAAAAATCTCACAATTTACATTTTTATATTCCCTATTGGATTGAATTTCTAAATGAAAACGCAATAATCTACACTGACTGACACAACTCGCGTTGCTTTGTACTAAACAGAATAGCCAACATAATAAAAATTAATTTAATCATACCATAGACATCGCATTTATTTATTGCTAACGAAAATAAGCGTACGTACTTTATACGCAAAGAAAAATCCATTCAATTGATATTACTTACAATTCCTCCATGTAAATACATTATTTAATTGTCGTTAAACGTTGTTTTTGGACGCCCGGTGGGTATGTATTTCAGAATATATGTATTATCTATGGTCATGACTTTGACAGCTTTGAGCTTCGTCGGACTCGTAGAGATAACTATTTGTGAACTTAGCATAATAATTACAATCTTATTTTCTTTGTTCTAGGTAATTGCTATAATTATGTAAATTTGTTTAGATATTCTATATATAAAAATATACATATTTAACAGTCATAAAATCATTCTCTTCATCATTTCATTATAAAAGTTAGGCAAAAATAAACAACCAGAAGTGTTCATTGGCGTATTCATTGAAAACCGCCAAAAAAGAAAAGAAGAAGAAGAAGAAGAAGAGATAACTATTCCCAGTTAAACGCCAACTGCCATAGAAGAAGAAGAAGAAGAAGAACCATGGGTAAAAGACGGAAGACCCACCGCAGACAAGGCTCAGTCTAAAAAGAATAACGAGGCTTGTGTAATTCGACAACATCCGCTCTGCTACAACTCCGTGACCCCTGCAGATAAGAAATGGAAAATCGATTAAAACAAGACATGACACGATCATTGGCGATATCATAAGCACCGCCAACTGCCTTAGAAGAATTAGAAGACTAAAGACATGACACGATCCTCGGGAAAGGTTGGGTCAGATGGAATTTTGAGTTTTTCGAGCCGTGGCTTTGAATAGAATAGTGGAACTGAAACCTTGGATCCAGAGGAAGTTGTAAAAAATTGCGGTTCTATTGGAGAAAATAACGCTCGAAATGATTATTTACTAATATAATTTACGAAATCTATCAATTAATGAAAATTTACCAAAATAACCAATTTATAAAAATGATCAGATTACGATTTTTTTTAATTACATTACTAGCGATTGATCGGATGCAGACTCGCTATTAAATAAGAATACCGAACGTACTAGCTGATACACAAGACGAAAATAGTGTCATCCACTCGGCTGCATCTCCGCGAACCCTGTTAAAGAAAAAAAGTCGATACACGATATGATCAAAGAGCCGCTAAAATGGAGTTTCAAACCTCGACGTGCACCGTCATCAATTGTGGAACCTATCCAGAGTAATAAAGTTGAAATTGCAAATTTACCACTATCAAAAAAAAATAACAAAATTAATTAACAAAAATCAAGTTTTTATGAGAACAGGCAATGAGTTTTTGGGTAGCAGCGGATGAATTAAATAACGTGGATGTAATTTCGAATGCATGGTTCGAGGGGATGCGGGGTAGATACCGACGGCTATAATCCGCAATAAATGAAGAATTTTTCAAATTGGCCCAGTAGTCACTGAGATTAGAGAGTTAAAACAATTAAATTCTTGAGTTTTATAGTATTAGTATAGATATCCTTTGAGATTTTTGTCCATCCCATCACTATCACTACATACTATAAGTCGTCCCGCTGTCTATCTGTCCCTATGTATGCTTAGATCTGTCAAAATACACAACAAATCTTGATGCGGTTTTTTTTTTACTTACATTGCACCCGTGCGACGCCGGGATGGGTCGCTAGTTACTACTAATTCTAATGCGGCAGGTCAATATTGGCCCGCTGTTTTTGCCTGGTTCATGGCTCATTTCCTGTTGGAGAAAGTTGGGTTCAAGCTAATGCTAAAATTTGCATTTGGATCCGCCGCCGCTGCACCAGATGATCATTTATAATTTTATATGTCGCAACCAAGGTGTTACATATATCACAGATAATACATTTCTGGGTCAAAAATACTGTTCATTTTTAGGGTTCCGTACGCAAAGGGACGGAGGGAGAAATTTATAGAAATAAATATTTTAACATTGGCCTATCAATATATGAAAATGTAATGTATGTACGCAGAAATATGTAAATAATAAAACATTATGTAAATAATAGGAACAAGCGTGTAACGCCAGTTAGAAGACCCCACAGAGTAAGTAACTCGTTCATGGGACGGGGTATACGCTTCTACAACAAAATCCCAGTTAATGCACAAAGCCTGTCTATTAATAGATTTAACAAAAACTTTTAAAAAAGGGGTATTATAATATAAATGATGTTTTCATTTATATCATAATAACCCTATTTAAAACAATGATAACAACCCCTGGGAATTAGATCATCGCTCCTTAGCTGTTTAAAAAAAAACTATATACTGTTTAACAATGTAACAGTTTGAGGGAAAAAAATTACACAAAAAGGAGTTTCTTTCGCCTGTTTCTTCGTTAGATGAACCTTGTTATGAAATTGTATGGTCTATTTAAAAAATGAATGAGAATGAGTAATGAATATAAATAAAATGTATATTTCTTACTTCGATGAAGAAATAATTTGATTTGATTTGGATTCTAATACTACTCCGCTGTCGGTCTTTCCGTCTGCCACCAACCAAAGAGAATGTAATCACTGCGTTTGCACCAACTTGTATCTCATGAACAGGGGTAGTAAGACAGTTAAAATTTTCACAGATGTTGTATTTCTGTTGCCTCTATAACAAATAATAAAAAACGGAATAAAAAAATATTTAAGTGGGGCTCGCATAAAACAGACATGATTTTTTGCCGTTTTTATAGATAATGGTACGGAACTTTTCGTGCGCGAGTCAGACTCATACTTGGTCGGTTTTTTTAACTTTAAATAAACTAACAATCGTCATCATTTATAGTTAATGATATACCATAAGATATAGTTAATGTAGCGATAGTGAACTATAAAGAAAGATCGCAAAGATCCGATACAGAGCACGCCAAATCCATGCGGTCTTGTGGTCCCTGCCTCTAGAGTGAACATAAAAAGTCGGAGCCCTGAGGGAGCAAGCCCGCGAGATGAAGTGGAACCAAGGGGCGAGCCGGTAAGATCCGTAGCGAAGTGAAGATCGAATAGAGGAAGCGATACTCATGGGCGACATAGCGAGAGTTCTGGCGAAAAATTGTTTGCAATATCGAAGTTGTAGCCTGTTACAATTTTACCGTTATTTCTTTCTCCTATATCCGCGGGTCGATTAATTATTAACGTGTTGAAAGGGTAAAAATACGGTGGATCTGCTAAATGTGTACCGTGTAAATTACCGTGTAATTTTCCAAAGGAAAAAATAAAATTTTGGACCAAATCAAGTCTTGATAAAATTTGCTTTTTGAATTATTAACAAAGAAATTTTCAAACTCGACTCACTTGAAATTAAAACAGTTCTTAGATTGATTTAAATGTTTACTAGGTATTTGTAACGCGTCGTCACTACAATTAAAATGTAAATTTTACGACATTCATCCATCACACTAACAAATTTCCCTACATCCAATATTTAAATAAGGACGAGAATAGATTGCGTGGAAATAAACTTCTTAATATTGGGAATTCCCCTGGAATCCTAGGCAACCAAAGGCAGTGTCAATAAAAAAATTGTTGACTGACTGAAATTCTTTTTATCCAGTACCTGAAATATTTACAATAACGTAATGTATACGGTACGTAACGTACGTGATACGGTGATACATGACATGGTAGGTTATAAGTTATTACCTTGACGGTAGATAAAAATCAGATTACACTGAATGGCGGACCCAGACCTTCTGTAAGTAGTTGTTAAAGACGCCAGGCTATCAGTACATCTACACAAAAAAGAAATGTTTTGATTCTGATGGCAATACTGTAAATAAGACATGTTGAATATTTCTAGTAACATTTTTATTTGTAGTGTTTAATTTTTTAAAATTGCAATACTGAGTTTGACAGCACCATTACGAAAACACAAGCGCATAAATGTCTCTCCGCGATATTTCCTTGAGAAATGACTTCTACAAATGATGGAAAAAACGTGAAAAGTAATCAACCAAGTAGCTCAAAAAGCAAAACATATTACATTGAACTTTACCAGGTAAGCCTGTTTACACTTATAATTAAGATAAATGGGCTTTGTATGACGCCGTTGTGATTGTAAAGTTCACTTTATGGCCGCCATATTTGCTATCTACGAACCCTTGTTTTCATGTTTTTCGATAGATATCCTATTAAGTATGTTGAAAAATGTTGATAAGCGGCCGTTCTATAAAATAACTTTTACTGATATAAGTTTTAATCTCGTTATCAAATTTGATATGTTATTTTTATATACCAGAAAAGTCTTCAGGCATCTTAGCTCCTGATCCTACTTGTGATGATTATAGTCTGCCATACTTTAA